CAGCTCGGAATCGATTTAAACGAAATCACAGTCAACATTGTCGGAAAACCATGATTAGAGAGGAAGAACTTAAGCATTGTCTACTTGTTATATCTGATCAGAAATGGGGCGTCGACGAGAAACCTGACATATGATACTTTACATATGCTGAAAAGTGTAAAATGACCATGGCTTATCATTTTGTTTATTCGTACGACTTTGAATTAAGTCTTTGTCACACAAACCTCAGAACTTATCATCGTACCGTTATGTAATGTGGACAAGTTTGGTACCCCAATTTATTATTACGTTGTGATCAGTATTCAAGTGTCGCCGATAAAGTTAGGTCAGTGTTCAATACATCATTGAAGGGCGTCTCAAGTTTTTATTTATTTTCTTGAACATGTATTATCCTGTGAGTGTGACCTTATATTATGTGTACAGACGTATATTGTATCTATGATCGTAAACCTTTAATTAAATTGTATCCATCTTGACAGCTTATATCTGAACTGTAATCTGAAGTAGACAATGTTTGTTCCGTGATAACTTTTCAGACTGATAATTTTCCCGATTCCATGCTTTGACTATAGTTGTCTCTTGGAATTGCAGAGACATTTTTTCACAATTGCCAATTACTTTTTGTAAGACTCCAATAAAACGCGTGTTTGAAGTTAGAAGTGTTTTGGTTGTCACCATTTCTTGAAGCACTATTTTAGCATCTGTGGTGAATATTGCTGTTTTTGTATATAAAATCTTTTTGAATTGACAACAAATAATATAGAAAGTGACAATTATAGTATCGAATCCTTCACCGTCTGGTGTAACCATTTTACTGAAGGTTTGAACTGTGTTTCTTTTGTTCTACTTATTCATTTGCAAACCCATGTTAGCCTACAAGGGTGTTGACAATAATTTAAAATGTTGTATTTCATTTTTGCATACTAGGAGATATGTTCTTTGTCGAGATTTTACTTATTACTCCTTGACACTGGTACATGTACACTTCTTGAATGTCGATACTGGTATATATTAATATTTGTCTTGACGATATTATATCCACAATTACTTGCCGAAAAAATTAACAAAAATAATTATACGTTGTAACGAATCTATTAATTTTCAAAAGAATGACCCGTATTAAAGCATAACATACTAATTTGTGTGCTAACTTGATAACAATGCATTTATGTTGATGATGGCATAATGTCTTCGAGATCTAACTGATTCTAGCCATTTTTCGTTTGTTTTTTATTTATTTGGAATTTGTGGTTTGTTAAACGTAAGGTTATCTTTTGAATGCAGAAATTTGATAATTATTTTTTATCCAATATATCACACGGAATAATAAAATCCGTCTTACTTGTTAATGTTTTCTTTAAATTCATGACCTTTAAGATAGACCAAAGTCGATTAAATTATGATGAAACTCAATTTAAGGAAAGGTACGGAAAACACATTTTCTCATTTTTGCAAATATGGGTAGTTCCTATTTTACATTCATTTCATATCTCTATTTTCTGTTTTGTCAAATCTTATCTCAAGGCATCTGTATGGATGATATATATAGCAATTGTTATTTTCAGCATTAAGAAAAGAAATGAATATAACAACAAAATAAATGTATATTTAATGGTTACTTTAATGCCGGCGTAATCTAATATACTTGTTATAAAAATCTGTAGTAAAATGTTGTTATTTTATGAATTAATTACTATGGTGAAATGTATATATATAGTTGATACAACGGTTAATGTATAATCTACACGCTATCTTGAGACAAATTCGCAGGTCTTAATATTGCAACAATTGCTACACAATTGCTGTCCAGCAACTGACATAAAACAAAGTTCTTTCGTAGAATAAATAAAAAAACCTAAAATCCCTTAAACATACCTTTACTTACATTCTATTTAATGATCATTTTTCTTTATGTAAAACATTTCCCGAATTATCTCAAAAGGTTTGCCATCCTTCGTAACTCTATCTAGGTCTGACTGTCAAAAGCAGGAGAACAAAATTATTTTTCAAAACGTATCGCAATAACAGCAACATACCTAATCATACGTCTGATCACTATCATTTTGGTTGCTAACTTTTAATTCATATCATTAGCATTTCAAAATACGTGAAATAGCCCCAAAAATTGAATCAGGAATACTGAAAATGAGCACAAACAACATCATACGTACATGTCGAACAACGCGAGGATCCTTTGGTATTGCACGTTTATAACAATGACAATTCTACACAATAATTTAAGCCTTTGTTTTAAATATTTATCTCCAGTCATTTCCTGTCCCAGAAAGCAGCCTCAGAGGATGACTGTAACAATCCCATATACTGACCCAATCTTCCGAGTCATTGGTGCTGTTAATGAAGCAAAAATGTCTCTTAATCATCGGTTTCCTTGCGATTCTAGTGCATTTTCGTCCACACTGGCACCACGTGACCGTTGCAGGTGTGTCTTCCGATCGACGGTCCTAGCCCATACTAACGACGGGACGCAAGGGAGATAATTTAGATGTGACAAAGTGTACCTGTCACCTGGATTGTGTCCACCATTCAGAATAGTTTAATACTTGTAACTTGATACGGAATCCCACCGTAGAAACTGACACCATCAGCCATTAAGGCCGCCCTGAATTCCCTTCTCGTGAGACGGCATTCCAGAACATATATCATCTATAAACCGAGGTGCCAAGCTACCGAAGGCAACTCATTCATTGAAGTAACAAAGCCATTCCTTTTAAGGCATAAAACAACAAAAACACGAACTTTTAAATCAGATTAAATGCAAAATACCAAAAAATTATATTAATATTCGCCTTTTCAATAGAAAGGAATTTGATTAATAGTTTTGCTATTCAGCATATTTGCTGACGTAATTTGTTGCTGTCAACAGGTTTCTATTTTGCCTAAGGTATGTGAAGGCATTAAAGTTCGTTAATGTCATGTTCCTTTACAAGACCTGGGTGTAAAACTATGACACTGTGGTCACTGCTGCGAGTCAACTCGTTCAAACTATGCAAATGCAGCTGACAATGTATTTCCGTATTTGGGCAGATTGACACTAAGGATTGTGTTCATTTATAACAATATGAAATAACATTGTATTCCAATATGATATCATTCTTTTGTTTCAAAACCCTATTGTTTAAAATATTGTTTAAAATGAAATTTCATAAAATTAACCTCAGAGTTTGTTGTAGAAATAAAAACAAGAAGAACGTTTCAATATGTCAGCATCATTATGATCAAAACTCAAATTCAATAAAGCTAGGGCAATTTATGAACAAAAGGAAGATTAACATGGGGACTCCTAAAACGTACATGGAAAATACGACCAGGTGCTACAGAAGAGTTAGCGTCTATTTTTTTTATCGACAACGCCCGCTATGTAAATCTTGTTCAAGTAATATTATGTCACGTTCTCAAATGAGAACAAGGTAAATAACAACGGCACCAACAGGCAAAACAACCAGCATTAAGCATGTTCAGCTTCATTTCGCACAAAGAAATAGAATTTTCCACAAGGAGATCACTATTTATAAACACCTTAAGCGTCAAATGCATTGGTGTCTCTATCAAATGCCAGCATTCAAATCAAAGAACAATTATAGAAGTAAAAATTAAACGTTTTCGCCGCCTTGTTTTCTTTTGAGACTTTTCAGTATTGAAAAATACTCACATACATAAGTTTTCTTGTTTTCATTGTTTAACATCTTGTGTGCCCATTTCAATAATTTTAAAGCGTACATCAAAACTTTGATTTTAGAATGTTCATAACAAACATATGTAAGTATAAAATTAATCAAACAGTTATTTATTATAAAGGTTTTTGACCAATTAATTTGAATATTTAAGACACAAAATTTAGAAAATGTTTTCTATCATTCGTAGTAATTTAAATCATAGTTTCTAATATTAGCATAAGTTAATTATAATAAAAGGAAAAAATATTAAATAAAAAATTTATTCCAAAATACGAAGAAAACAATCATTCTCCTTCTTGGATAAGGACCACGCTGTTGATATGAACATAACTCATTTTAAAGGGCAAATCTAACTACAAATAGACCTATTAACATCATTTGGTATTTAAGTGTTTGCAGATAGAACACTGATACTGCATAGAGACAATTGCGAGGGCCACTCGCCTACCTCAAACAAAAGACACCTTTATAAATAGCGTGTTTTAGATGGGTATATATCAATATATCACTATAACGCTTAAAACTGCATCATACCTATAAACCAAACATTTATAGAAGAGTTCACAGACGTCAGAGGGAGCTGGAAATAGTGTTTGCTACTATTGTCAATACATGTAATTTCTTATATGTTGCTTTGTTTCATAGTTTGGGGTTTATCCCTGTAATGTAGAAGGTCAAAACATTATATTGCATCACATTTACTTGAACCTTTGTAAACTAACTTTCGGTTATCTCAACATTAAGAGTCGGGACGGCTATCCTGTCTCTGCTATAAAAGATAATGTTATCTTATTGTGGAACAATACATGCTTTTGGTCAATCGACCGGACACTATTATTTCCTAATATTTAACATAACCAATTACCACAATAGACATGATGACAGTTAAGCATGCTCAGTACTTGTACCCGATACTGAACTCAGATACCTGGTGATATCACCTGGAGGTATGTGGGAAACAGGAACTGCTCGCGAGTCTGTGTATATATAAAGAGAGACGGGTGTAGGTATCATACAGACAGCAATAGGACAGGGTGAATTGTTAACATGCTATCGTGTTAGGCAATAGTTTACTTAATAAGAACTACAGAAGAGCATAGTGTTTGGTGCAACAACTTTATAAAGAACAGTGGACTGCTTAATACAGTTAACTTAATTAGTTAGTTAACTTAATAAGAGCTATAGAAGAACAAAGTGTTTGGTGCAGCAACTTTATAAAGACCCGTGGACTGGTAAATACAGTGTTAAAATCATCAGGTGAAAGAAAATTAACTTTAATGTGAAGTGAACACTTTGAAAAGTGATATGGATAAAAGCACGTTTCAGATGCATTTGTCAACTAAAGTCGGACAGAAATCTGTTCCCGTGGCTGTAACACTGACAGAAGATGTTCTAACTTGGACTATACAGACTAATAATTCCAAAGGTAAGATATCCATGTATTTTTGTCTACCTCTAGTGTTCTAGTATATTAATAATAATTATCAATTCATTTATTACTTTAGTCATATCAATATCCATTGTAGGATGAGTATCTAAAAAAATATTCGGATCGATTTCACACGAAAATGAAGACTGTTGTTATATTAGAAAATGTTACAAAGGGTCAGTTTTGAGTTTAAACTATAGTAATTTTATTCCCATTGGTGTTGAGGAATTTGTTTACGTTTTGTTAACTTAATTTGAAAAGTAAATGTAAGTATTTTCGAGCAAGCACACCAATAAGTTTTTTTATGACACCAAACGTACCGACTTGACATTATAACCATGTTGATGTTGATAACTTTTATGATATGTACACATCGGGTCATTCACAAAAAATCAAACAGGATTTTTGCAAGGAAGGGAAATATTTGAGAATGTATTTGATATTGAACACACATAAACATACTTGTTTACATATCTATATTAAAATAATTTTCGGTGTTCGCCTTCATGAAATATCCACGCTTGGATCTCTGAACCTTCATATACACATACACAAAGCCTTATGTAATCAGATATTTCTTCAGTAAAATCTTTTACCATATATTGGCTAATTATAGGTATCAGCAGAGAACGCCGCTAGCGATGTATATATTCTGTTAGATCTTTCGTTTTGATAGAATTTAAGGCGCTTTCTCACCTGTTGTATTCCTTTCAGGAAGCAAGGTCGATTCTTTTGTCATTTAGAGACATGCAGTTGTTATTCCTGTAGAGACAAGGTTTCTTTTCTTGTCCTATTCCAAGACACATAGGCAAATGGACCCTTGTACATATATCAACATTATAGACAACTGTACATATAATCATATACCAATGATATAGAAATCTGTCTGTATACCACCAACATAGACACCTGTCTATATACATACTATCAATAAAGACACCTGTCTGTATACCATCAATATAGACACCTGTCAACATACCGCCTATATAGACACATGCCTATATACAATAATTATAGACACATGTCAACTTACCACCTATATAGACACATGTCTGTATACCATCAATATAGACACCTGTCAACACACCGCCTATATAGACACCTGCCTATATACAATAATTATAGACACATGTCAACTTACCACCTACATAGACACCTGCCTATATACAATCAATATAGACACCTGTCAACACACCGCCTATATAGACACCTGCCTATATACAATAATTATAGACACATGTCAACTTACCACCTACATAGACACCTGCCTATATACAATCAATATAGACACCTGTCAACACACCGCCTATATAGACACCTGCCGATATACAATAATTATAGACATATGTCAACTTACCACCTATATAGACACCTGCCGATATACAATAATTATAGACATATGTCAACTTACCACCTATATAGACACCTGCCTATATACAATCAATATAGACACCTGTCTGAATACCATCGATATAGACACCCCCAAGACTAAATTTTGAAAAATTTCTATCTAAAATGTCTTTGATTTTATACTCGTTTTTATCAATAGTTTAGATCAATAAATATTACAAGGTAGTTATCTCCTACTGAAGGTCTATATCATATTACAATATTTATATAAATCAGGTGGCCTATTTACGGTATGTTTATACAGGTGATCGCTTAATGACCTTGATAACGTTTAAGAACTGAAAGTGCAGCTATCAATTCAAATCGATCGATAAACTTTAAGGTTCAGATAATGTCAACACATAGATCTTGTTTATTTATAGATCATGTTTCAAAATGTACTTCACCACCATAACTACTAATCAATACAAGCATTAAGGATATGTGTTTCAATTAAATTCAGATTAAAATATTTAGATTTGTATATGTACAATTGGTTGAAATAGCATTTTATTATCATATTTCTTCGGATCTAAGTTCCAGGTATCAAGTGTTAGGATTCCTGACGCCTCATGAACGATGTACATATAATTTATAAATGCCTGTCTATATGTTTCTCTGCTGTATTGTGCTATCTTTTTTTTTCTGTAATTCTGTAAGAAAATGATTGATATCTTTATGGTGATTAGCGATATCGTTTCCTTAAAAAGAAATAATAAACTATTTCATTGACTAAAATAATATAATACTGAGGATTCATTTATTTTCGTTGGGTTCAATTTTCGTTGTTTCTACAAATTAGACAGTTTCGTGGACTCATAAATTCGTGGATTTTTGATTCTGTGGGAAAAAAATAAAAACGTTAGAATTTTCTCTTTTTGCTTCCAGTCGAATTTTTTTCTGTTTGTATTAAGGCTATGTTCACAGGAATTAACACTAATGACAAGAATAAAAGAACGTTTTTTTTTTCAAGATGGCGTCCTGTGTTTTTATAACGCTGTTTACAACAGTCTCGCAATAATATCAAACCACAAATCAGTATATATCCTGGCGTGTAATCAATCGGTAATTATCAGAAACAATTGTTTTCAGTGGATAAGCATTGTGTGCTGATCAGTCGGTGTACCGCAGTCATATGAAAACACCACGCGTATCGATGGGACCATGTGTGTAAACAGGTGTGTAAACAAGATCTGCATTATTAATAATTATTGTGAACCTGTAGTCGGATAGAAATACGGATCCAATCTTCAGTCGACAGGATGGTCCGATCAAGCCTAGTGTCCACAGTGTCGCTAACGACTGCGATCCCATCATACTTAGCATCACAATGGGTACTTACCCTTTGTTATGTTTAATAATATATAATTATATATCTTTGACACCAATTTAGCGTATCCATGTCGAGCCTCAGACTACCCGACTCCCGACTAATTACGGGGCTTCTGTCATTACCGGTGGACGTTTCCGGTGTCGGCAAAGATTACTTGGTCAAATTTCAAAATTACTTTAGTAAGTAGTTCATATTTCGTTGTGTTTTTAAATTCGTGGATTTGCTCATCCACGAAAACAACGAAAATTGGACCCCCACGAAATAAAATGAATCCACAGTATTTTCTTTTCATATTTCAGTAAACTCAATATGTACAGATGACCTACTAGCTGCGCATCCAGTCAAAACAGGTAGTGACGTCACAGACAGTAGTTTCATGGCGTATAGATTGTTCTTCATAGAACACTTCCCGCTCAGAGTGATGAAGATGAACTCTGTTGTATTATCAATGTGCCCTTCTGATGCTTTACACTTCCTTACGAAAATCAACCGCTTTATCAACGGTACGTAAAATGCTGCAACATCTGAAACCAAATACTCGATCGAATTTCAGAAGTATTTACATGTGGTATAAGTGGTAGAATAGCTTTTATGAATCAATAAGTGTATTTATCCTTAAAACAATGGTTTGAATCATGTACACTATAAACGATTGTTAAAATGATTTATATATATTTATGTATGAATAAGTAATTTATGTAAATCTAAAACAACGCAAAAAGGAAAAGAAAAACAGAAGGGAAAAATCCACATTATTTATCATTTTTGTCGTCTGTAGTATAAAATTTACATGTTTAACTATCCCGTAAATCTATGTACATTTGATCTTGTTGTTCCTAATTTATATCATAAATACCCTATTACTTTGGTCCAGTCATGTAAAGAAATATCTATAAATATTCATAGAAGATATTTACACAGATCATTGTTTTATTACTATATAATTCTACAAGGAAGATATTCACGTTTCATTATTTGTATAATTACATTCAATAGAAAATAATAGCGTACTCATTACAAGTTATCAGCGATTGCTCAATAGACTGTGTCATCAGACAAGCTGAATAACGGTGTTCCGAGCGGTAGATACACTGTTACATCTGTTTACAGATGTCGATTGTAGTCTTGAGATTGGGCGCAACTATCCACTTGCTGTTATTGTAAAGCTATCGACATAGATCGTTATCAAATGAAAACATTGGTCAGAATGCTGAATTTTTCTGTTACTTCATAATCTTCAAAAACGTTGCTGTTATTGGAATAGATTCATCGAAACCGAGGCGCCTCCTGGTGTTCATCAATCCCATAAGCGGAAGGAAGAGGGGCACGACTGTCTACCGGAAGCAGATGTCACCACTATTTCGAATTTGCGGTATTGGAGTGGATGTTATAGGTAAATGAAGTACTTCATTCATAATTCAGTGATATTCAAGGCTAGAAAATATTAACATGATATGGAATGGCTGATATCTGTACATCTCAGTTACTCCAATCTATTTTATACTTGTCATTCGATCCTGAGTCACAACATTAGACGTGTCTGTGATTATTAATGTTACTGATAAATGTTTAAAATGTCCTCTGACATACCTGTTTAGCATTATAGGGTGATTAACAAAATTTTATATCTGGTATATCTGCTTTTTCAGTCACTAAACGACGTCACCATGTTTCATCTGTATTGGAGAAATACGACCTCACATCAATAGACGGGTATGTTTGCATTACCATTTACCAATAGTAAATTATCTTTGATATATAACAAACATTATATTGGTTTAAGAATTAGTATAAAATAGACACATGTAAGGCATGCAGATATATAAAAATATTTACCCACTAAATATTTGGTTCTAATATGTTATGTAGGATAGTAACAGTTGGAGGTGACGGGTTGTACAGTGAATGTGTGAACGCCCTCCTTCGAAAAGAACATCCAAACAGTGACATAGAATTGGATACGCCCACATCTCCAGTAAGCAACATACCTGTCGGTATCATTCCTGCAGGAACCGGAAATGTACTGGTGGAGTTTCTCCATGGCAACAGAGATATTGAAACAGCTGTTTTACATATTATTAAAGGTAAGTAATGTATCAAATTCATAACACTTTTAAGAACTGTAACAGGATATCTCCATTTCAAAGCATTCGTATTTTTTTTTATAGTTATGTCATGCAAGTGACAAATATATTTGATTGATGGTTTCAGGCAAAACATCGCGATCCAATGTTGCTGGTCTATACGAGAACAACAAATTGAAAATGTTCGCCGGACTTGTTCTTGGGTTTGGGTTGTGTGGCGAGATGGTGAAGGACTGTGAGAAGATGAGATGGCTGGGCCCAACAAGACACTCTGGTAAGTGGATTCCTATTACACAGTAAAGTTGATCAATTAAAACAATTCTAAATGTCAAAATTCACTGTAGCTGTGAAGTGTAGATAGACATTTGTCACTGTATATTCCCCGAACTAGTTTCCTCATCTTTATATCACCAGTAGCTCCCCTCAAGGCGTTCTTCCAAAGACGAACTGTCGATCTAGAAGTTACCAAACAACAAGAACAAACAACTCTACCAATAAAGGACATGATGGAGAAAAACTGTGAGTAGCATTCTTACATCCGTCTGATGTTAGATTTAACGATATGTAGAGAAAACTTCGTTTTCGAAATTCCAGTCAGTGTACCTATACCTATCTCGGCTAATTCAATCATGGCTCAAACACAAATCCAAACTTCTGTTCTTGAACGCGAGTAGGACTCGCTGATGATGATGAAAACATTTTTACACGTTTCTGTTTTTATTTTAAAAGCAAATATATTTTTTTCTGAAATAAAATAATGAGATAATACAACATTTATAAATATATATACATATTTTGAAATACATTTTACTTTTTATTTTCGGTCTAGGCCGTCTGTCCGGTCCAATGTATAGTTTGGATATGTGGGTACCAACACTTGTTAACGGCCCACGGAGGATGACCCCAACATTTGGGGACACCTCTTTAGCTCTACACGCTGTCAAGAAATGCAGCTTTGTAGAGCACCTCAGACACTTGCTCAAAGTCAACAGCCGGCAATCTGGTTGTGTAAGTATTCACTGAAGTACGATTAGAAGTTTCCTACCTCAGAAACGTCATTTATCTTGTGGTTGGTGACGGGTTTTCCGTCTCCATGACTCTTGCTATGTTAGGCGTTGTCTCAACCACAAATGTCAGAGTTCTAACGACAGGTCATTTGTCTACCGTAAAATTTCTTCTAAAACAAAAAAAATAACAGTTAATAGTATGACAACACAGAAAGAGTGACTCGTTATTAACCATTCGATGAAAACAATGTCTTTTGTGATAATACACTTGTCATCATGACAGCGATTGGTATTCATTTAATCAACATTTATTTTTACAGTTTGGGTATGATTTTGTGAAGACATTAGAGGGAACTGGATTTGAGGTCCGTCTACAAAGTTCCCAAGGATCAACACGTAAACATTATATAAATCACGACGGAGAACACACGCTGTTGACATCACAATATTTTGATGTCAGGTAAGAGTATTCGAACCTCGTTTTCGCCAACCCTCTCATCCTCCTCCTGTAGGATATTTTTTATAATAGTCTTAAATGTCTCCAAAGTTTTTTTTATATTGTCTATTATTTCAAACCAATAGATATAAAATTTGAATTTACTTTACTGTAACATTTATTTATCATTACATTCGTTTCTCACGCTGTTCATGTCTTCTATCTTTTAGATTACATCGAGATGCCATCAGCCTGTTTGGGACCGTGAGTGAGTGATTCCTCTCGCCTGTCTGTCTCAAGAATATAAACAAGACGTTGTATAACTTAACCTATTCTAGTCATTTTCAATCTCGTATAATTTATGTATTTTTATATACAATGTGTGCAGGCACACTCTTGTCCTTTTATTTATATAATTATTTTTACGATTTAAGTCTTACATGTATTGCTCAAATGTAGGTGTCAGCCTGACGGGAATGGATCATTAGTCTCGACCATATTCCACAATGATTTGATGCTGTTCATGTGTTTGATGATATAATCCGTGTATTATTTATTGAAAACTACCATATGATATCTTTTTATATACAAATGTATGTCACTAATGTTACATGACCTGACTGTGCCAGTCAGAAAATCGATTTATATACCAAAATATCGGCACTGACGTTATGTAATGAATCGAAAATGGTGCAACAATTCGGCTGTCTTCGATTGTTTACGTCTTTCACATATCTACTTAACAACCTGTGAGGGCTTCTACCTGTGTACTAACAATCGTGTCATTAAAAAATTATGAAATGAAAATTCATGAAATATCCTTTATACATAAGATAACAAATACAATATACATATGTATATCTTATTCTATATAAAATGTTCTGTGTTCTTTGTGTGTAGGGTTTCGCCTTCTCACAGTAACCAATGTCCTGATGTTTATCAAAAGCATTTAAAATCGTTTGTACTGACGAACAGTATTACAATATGCATATGGGAACATTTGTGATATATTCCATTTTCTATATGATGAATATTATAAATCTCCCGTATAACTTAATGGGAACTCAAAAATATTATGTTTGAATCCGTGCCACAGATTTTTTTTTTATGTGTTGAATTACAAATATGTTTATGCCCTATGTTTTAAGCAAAATATGTCCATAGGTAATATTACTGATTAGGTATGTCAGCTAAGTTTGTACGTGTATGTTTATTGAGATAAAGAAAATGTTTTTTGTACAGCTTGTGGTGAGCAAATTGTATGTTAACTTGTATGATTATGTACATTAACTGTGTTGCAACTCGGGATGTTTATCTTTGGGTGACTAGATGATATACCATTAAGACACACCGCAAAGTGTAAGCGGTGTTTTTATAGTTGTCATCTCAATATATGTCTTTATAAATTAGTAATTGTCATCTTTATTATCTTTTACAAATTCTTTCGTCCATTAATTCATCATCGTTCTTTTATTAATACTTATTGATATCATTGTTGATGAAGTATCCAATTAATTTCTTATTAATTATTTTTCAATTTTCGTCATGGTTTTTGACACTTGTTATCTTTTCAAATGCACTTAACATATGTGACCTAATATGTGTCTCTCTTATGTAAATAAAAAAAGATTGACCATTCTTCAATTCGTTCTTTAATTCCATTTTGTGCCTACAATTGTATGTAAACAATAGATGTCACCTATAGAACGATGCCCTTGGTCTTTATTAGAAAAGTATCATGGGCCAACTCTTGCATAAATATTTCAAGCGTCTATATTAAAGAATGTTGCAGCCAGAGCTTGCTCTATTTAGCAGAATCCACACGTTCAAGAATAGAATGCTGACACGTGCTGACTTGTATAATGTACTAAGCAGAATCCACACGTTCAAAAATTTAAAATAGAAAGTTGTCACGCGCTAACTTGTACTCAGCAGAATCCACATGTTTTTTTGCACGCTGTTTTCAGGAATGGGTTGGTTTCGCACTGTTTATTTTGTCGCCAGATTTCGCACGCGAGCTGACCATTGTGGCGCATTTGAGCATACTTGGACATATCTTCACACGGTTCTGTAAGGTACAATGGCAAATTCCAACATTACTTTTAGCAATATACCCATTGATGTGTTTGCAATAATCACCAGGAGAAATCTAACGTATTAGATTATGTAAATACAACACGCTGATTTTGCCGAAATGAATAACATCAACAGGAAACCAGAATATCGGTTATCTTTAGGATTTAATTGATAAGGGATCTTTAATATGTATGATTAAGAACTCAATTCGTGTCAATTAATAAAAACAACATATACGTCTGTACCTTTGTATTGATCTCAAATCTCTTTACTTACCATTTTCTTCTTCTTCTTCCCCGGGTGCCGCTGTAAAAATAGAACAATCACGTCATCCAACTCTGTTCAATCAATTGTTTAGGTGGTATTAAACAAACGCAACGAGCTCGAATTAAAAAAATCAAATTTCGGTAAGGACAAATGTTTCACTAATTTTTCGGGAATGGAAACATTCAAGAAACAGGAGTTCAGCATTTTTCAGCTTAAATATTTTTTATGCAGTTTTCTTTGACATTTTGAGTAAGACTTACGAGTACAAAGTTTGCAACCCTTTCTGCAGTACTTGTGCATGAATCCTGGATTACTGTCACATTCCCCTTCTTCATACCAGAAACTACAGTGATCTTTGGACTCAATGTTCACACACGGGATGATGCCTTCTCCTGAAGGATATAAAATGATATATGTCATATGTCGTTTTCCATAACCGCTAAATAGTTTATCTCGTTATTTCGGAGCAAGAGAGTCTATAGTACATATCGTTAGGGTGACCGTTGGATTTAAAGTTTGAATACATTTTGGTAATAGTAGAAAAGAATAACGAAATACTTCGACGAAGATTGCAGATTTTTTTTGTTAGTTTCCAGAAGACTTACCGTGACATAGACGGTTAAGTGAGCAAGTTTGTCCCTTCAAACAATGAGCACAAGGTGGTCCTTTCAACCAGGGGAAAACACCGTAATCGTTTCCTCTGGAAATATACCGATAGAACTAATTGAAAGAACGCCTGAAGAACTAAGTTAAACAAAGTGTATCATAAACTAACATTTAAATTACAATTTTAAAAAAAATAGCACGTATCTGGGTATTATTAATATAAAAGATAACACGTGAACATTTTAAGTAAATACATTTTACGAACGTTTAAGTGAAATATATTGACGGTCACCTCAATTGTCTATTTTGTAACTACCTCGAATTGTGTGTGTTAATTCCTGCACCAAATCGAATATAACTTTCATCTGAAAACGTAGCAGTTATCTGAAATAATCATGGGAATTGCACAAAAGGCACGCAAGTGACTAGCACCTTTTAATACAAATATATTTAGAATTAGATACATTGGAGCCAGAGAATGATTTTGACAGCATCATACAGCTGTTTCGTCCTTCTAGGACTTGTCAGTGAAAATAGTGAAGAATTGAGAGGTAATTTTAGGACTTGTTGAAATCATGTAATTTTCAACTGATATAGCTTTGCAATGATAAACTACGATTTTTTGTAGACTTGCACAAGTTCCAGCATCGATTCACTAATGATAAACTTATGACTATAAATTCTGGTTATAAACAAAGCGTGTTAAATCGAAATAACAGGAACGAACAAAAAAGGAGACATAAAAGTAACTGTCTTACTTTGGATCGTAAAAGCAGCCGATGTACCAGGCGTTAGGGATGGCAGTGTTGGGATCCCAAGGGACATGGAATGTAGGACAACGAACCATGGCACATCCCACTTTATTTGTCTCGGCCCACACAAGCTAAAAACAACAATTCATACGTATATCGTAAAGTACTTATATATACAATTATTTTAGATCATTTACTTAACAGCTACCAACATTATTACACTGGTATATCAAAACAATAAAGAAAATACCAACATGACAACATAATCATAATCCAAACTCAAATTCAATAACACTAGAGCAAAAAATGATCTAAAATAGTACCTCAGAAAAGTATTAAGAGAACAATACCATGTGTTTCGGAAGAATAATCGTCTTCTGCTACATCAATGACACCCGCCGTGCAAATTTTATTCGGTTCAGTTAAGTAATATCACGTTCAAGTAAAACCGAGGTAAGTAACCATGGAACCACCAGGCATACTAACGAGAATCAAACGCGTCCAATTTCATATCATATCTCTCGAAATCCTGTGTTGCGAGTTTGTCAGTTGCTCATTGAAACGGGCATACTCAGTGAAATGCAAATTTATGATACATCTATGAGAAGTGACATTCACGTGAGCTGGAAATGTTAGACCCTACCTGCGCGAAGTGGCAGTCACGTGAGCTGGAAATGTTAGACCCTACCTGCGCGAAGTGGCAGTCACGTGAGCTGGAAATGTTAGACCCTACCTGCGCGAAGTGGCAGTCACGTGAGCTGGAAATGTTAGACCCTACCTGCGCGAAGTGGCAGTCACGGGAGCTGGAAATGTTAGACCCTACCTGCGCGAAGTGGCAGTCACGTGAGCTGGAAATGTTAGACCCTACCTGCGCGAAGTGGCAGTCACGGGAGCTGGAAATGTTAGACCCTACCTGCGCGAAGTGGCAGTCATGTGAGCTGGAAATGTTACACCCTAAATCCGCAAAGTGGCAGTCACGTGAGCTGGAAATGTTAGACCCTACCTGCGCGAAGTGGCAGTCACGTGAGCTGGAAATGTTAGACCCTACCTGCGCGAAGTGGCAGTCATGTGAGCTGGAAATGTTAGACCCTACCTGCGCGAAGTGGTAGTCACGTGAGCTGGAAATGTTAGACCCTACCTGCGAGAAGTGGCAATCTTGCGAGCAGGACTTGTTGCCATATTTGAAGTACTGAATCTCGCTGTACCAATCATCCATGGATTTTGTAATGAGCTCCTCGTTACTCGCTTCGTCAGTGTTGAAAGCCAGGTTCTCACCTCGACCCTTCATCTGGTGCTCAAACGTACAAGACGAGATCCAGTCAAGAGCCTCTTGTGCTAGTGTGTTGTCCCATTCCTACTGACAGATACAAAAAAAAACTCTAAACTGTGACGGTAAGTAAAGTATATAATGTAATTTACAGGTAGAAATCTCCCAGGTAATCAACTGTTGAGCCGTTTACAAACTAAGACAATTATAAAGACAGGTAGTTATAAGTATTGCTCGGCGGATTGACCTGTCGCCATAACTGAATTGACTTGGAGTATTCCAGTTGGACAATTACATTTATTGAAAAAATGTGTAATTCCTATAATTATGGCATAAATTTCGGTAGTGTAAAATGACAATTATCAAAGAGAAGTTAAGAAATGTTGATATCGATGGATGACAAAAGTTAGTGTGGAACGATAATGAAAACCTGAACGGAAATATATTGAATGCTGATTTAAGCAGTATGCCCCAACCTATCAGTTTACCAGTTGAAAGCAAAGTGAATGAGAAGTTACACTTGACAGCTTTTAAATCCTTTAACATAACGAAGCTGCTTCCACGATGAACCGTTTCTAATAGCGTGGAATAACCTTAACTTACTATTTGTAAGTGTACAGTACATTAATTGTTTGGTAACAGAAACCATTAGGTAAATGATCCGCTGGAGCGTGTACGATCATCAGTTGAATCTTGCTGGCAATACTACGATAATGAAATGAGAACGCAACACTCCAAGTACTCACAGTTATTCATGACACTTAAACACGTCTAGCACTGTGCTTGTGAAGCAAAATTACTGGTATTTTATGACCATATGAATTACATACCATAGTTTATATTGTACAGGTAAACAGTATAAAGTCATTCCATGGCCATAATATTTAGTGAAAACGAAATAAAATTCACACATTGTTCAGAAACATCCATAATTTCATTGTCAAAAATTGTTTTATTCACAATAGATTTTTAGAAATTCTTTTTCCTATGCCATCAATATTTTTGCCGTCCGCATACATCACGTATATGACACCAATTTCACCAGGGCGATGTGCAGAGAAGACTGCTAATACTCGTGAAGCTGTAAGTGTATGTGTAATTACGGAGTCATACCATCGTGTTGTAAGTATATATGTAATTACATCGTCATACCATCGTGTTGTAAGTATATATGTAATTACATAGTCATACCATCGTGTTGTAAGTATATATGTAATTACATAGTCATACCATCGTGTTGTAAGTATATATGTAATTACATCGTCATACCATCGTGTTGTAAGTATATATGTAATTACATCGTCATACCATCGTGTTGTATGTATATATGTAATTACACAGTCATACCATCATGATTTAGTGTATATGTATTTACATGATGAAACAAAAAGACATATAAACCTACCAATTCGTTCATATTAGCGCCATGTTGTTTCTTTCTCATTTCATTATGCATATCTAGAATGAAGGTCTTCAGAGCCGGAGTGAACTCAACTTCGTATGCAACAGCAACACCCATCAGTATACCAAGAAAGGCACACAACAGCAACGCTGATCGGGACATCGTCTGAAAAATTCCTTTATCTAAAAAATAGTCCTACACGTCAAACAGATCCAAATCCGAATTGTTTAATTAAAACCTGGACGGCAATGACCTGTTATTCACTTTAATATCGTTTGATTTTCCTCGATCATAGAATCGTGTATGGAAATAAATTAGTTACATCTGTTCTGTATATATCGAGACCAAGACACTCGATTAACGAGGTTTGATGATTGTAGGAAAAAACAAGGTATTGGTTAACAGCGAGGCTACATTTTGTTCGCCTTTCATTGCGCTAGGATAGATAACTCCGACATATATAGGCGATAGAGACGTTTTTCGGCAGATGTTTAAGGGATCATTTCTAACAATGACAGGGGAAAGCACATTAAGAGATCTTAGTGCCTCTATTTCTTAATGTCTGGGCATTTTGTTGGGCAGGTTTATAGAAATGGGCTTATGTTTTACTGTTAAATTCATCCGACAATGACAAGTATTGTCTAGGTAGGGTTTCCTTGCAGCTGTCAATGATTCATTCTCTTCAAATCTGAAATCATTTCACTTTTGTTTTTATTTTCAGATACTGAAAATGTCTCTAGATTTTCGTATATAATTTAGAATATTAGAAAAAATAAATTACATTTGTTTCGCAGGATTGTATAGGACGTGTAATGGACGCTGTCATTTAAAGGCCTATGTCGATATATATTTTTAATAAATATGAAACTTATCTAAATGATGTCAAAACACACAACATTGTAATTCACGACCACTGACTTCTTCGGCTTGTACAGCTATCACAACTTTGGTAGTTAATAATGCTAATTTCACGAAGGTTAAGATAGCTATTCAATATGGATAAAACAGCGCTCACTTAACGAACATTCAGATAATCTTTCATTATGAATAAAATAATGCCCATACTCGAACGTTAAGATAAATATTCAATATTAATAAAACAGCGCCCTTTTCACGAACGTTAAGATAGCTATTCAATATTATCAAAACAGCGCCCATTTAACGAACATTAAGATAAATATTCAATATTGATAAAACAGCGCCCTTTTCACGAACGTTAAGATAGCTATTCAATATTATCAAAACAGCGCCCATTTAACGAACATTAAGATAAATATTCAATATTGATAAAACAGCGCCCTTTTCACGAACGTTGAAGAAAAAGATAGCTATTCAATATTATCAAAACAGCGCCCATTTAACGAACATTAAGATAAATATTCAATATTGATAAAACAGCGCCCTTTTCACGAACGTTAAGATAGCTTTTCAATATTATTAAAACAGCGCCCATTTAACGAACATTAAGATAATTATTAATTTCACGAACATTTAACGAACATTAAGATAATTATTCATTATGAATAAAACAACGCGCATTTCACGACCGATTAGATAGCATTTCGATATGAATAAAACAGCGCCCATTTCACGAGCGTGAAGATAGCTATTCATTAGGCATTAAAACAGCGCCCACTTAACGAACATTAAGATAAATATTTAATATGAAGAAAACAGCGCCCATTTAACAAACATTAAGATAAATATTCAATATGAAGAAAACAGCCATAACTTAACGATTGTTTTGTTAATTCAAGTTTGTTTATATCTAAGGAACCGGAGTCGTTGACTAAATCAGAATTACTGTGTCAGTAATATAATACCAAGGGGGGTTGGGCTTATAGTTTTCGACATCTGGTTTACACGGTTAACACATGAAATGTTTCCTTAGGTTATCGTGTGAATTGCCATAATAAATTTATACAAGTGACTACAGATCCATTTTAAACTTTTATTTGAACTTTTCTTCACCCATAATTCTCGAGATTTCTTCGGTTTGTGCAAATGAAAAGTTCCATGATATATAGTATATCTCAAACAACAAGAAATTGTCAATTATAACCAGAGAAAAAAATATAAAATATTTTGGAAAAATCTCAGGTTTTTTTTTTTTTTAATTTTTATAATCTTTTATCATAATTTGTGTCTTGTTTGTTGCTCTCACTGACTGTGCTTCAGCAGACGTAGTTTGGAAATTAATAATGTTGTTTTATCGAAAAAAAGACCAGCTGTGAATTCTATCAAACGAAAAACGGTGATCATACATGTAAAGTTTTCAAAAATACCGTTCTAGGGTAGACAAACCATTTATTTACTTGTGTTTGAATTATAAAGTAAAAATTCTACTTACTGTTTTGTAACTTCACTCTGCTTTGCGGTCCTGGAGTTGTGGAATAAGACTGCAGTATGTTGGGTGAAATCAGCATTTTATACCCATTCAGTCCGAAACCCAAAGATTGCGCATGTACCAAACAACAAAAAGTCGTATAATGCGCGAGATCATATCTCCAAAAAGGCTCAGAAATCAAATGTCATTTGCGTATATGTAACATCAATTACAGTTATTGCTTAATTTCTGGAAGAATAATTATTATTCCAGAACAACAATCCTCGTGCCAAACGCGACCTTTTGGATATAGAATAAATTCTGAGAATTTGTTACAGAGAAAGTAAGTGACGGTGGATGGTGCCGGTGATCTGGACGCCACCATTATTTCTATAATCATTATTCTTCCGTTACACGTGGCATTAGTACAATTCTGTAATACTGCCTAACTGTATGGTTACTAGTCGATATATGAAGAACTACATGATACTGGTAAACGGACGCTAATGTGCAGAATTATGTTAGCGCCAACGTATTAAATGCATTAAAAATTTCACAGAAACGGGGTTGATCCGTTATACAATGTATATGTATATAAGTATTAATTTTTTTTTACAGAAGTTGATCCATTCGTGAAGATTACGGGTTTTATTTAGTTCATATCTGGGCAATTTTGCGGTATTTGTAACAGAATCAAACTAACACAATAGAGTTATGGTTTTATCAACTAGATGTAAAAGTTGGATGCTGAAATTCACGCTTCAACGATTTCGATATCAGGTTGAAAAGTTTCGATTCATCCACATCTAATTTAGAATTACATGGGATAAACTTTCTACTGAACGGTTTCAAACCATTAATTTCTATCATCTAACCTTATAAAAATGATCGGATCACCTTTTCATACTGGTTGGTTTTAAATAAGGTACGCTATATTAGATAGAAGAGAAAGATATTTCTACACAATTAGCGTAGCATACCTATTGAAATGTACTATGCTTTATGATAAATGTCTGTACAAGTACCATTTTAATATTGAGGACGCAATGGATGTCATGCATGTGTCAGTATCATGTTCAATGGCAAAATAAAATCATCGTAATCCTGCCACCCATATCCCATAGAGCAGCTTTCTTCAAGTCACCCGTAACCATGACGTCCACGCTCAATATGGAGCCGTCCTTTTGCTTCACAAACTGTATTCATAAATCACTATTTTTCTACACATACCACACAGTCCAGGCTCCTTATGGAATCACTATCTTTCTACACATACCACACAGTCCAGGCTTACACATACCACACAGTCCAGGCTCCTGATGAAATCACTATCTTTCTACACATACCACACAGTCCAGGCTTACACATACCACACAGTCCAGGCTTACACATACCACACAGTCCAGGCTTACACATACCACACAGTCCAGGCTTACACATACCACACAGTCCAGGCTTACACATACCACACAGTCCAGGCTTACACATACCACACAGTCCAGGCTCCTTATGGAATCACTATCTTTCTACACATACCACACAGTCCAGGCTTACACATACCACACAGTCCAGGCTTACACATACCACACAGTCCAGGCTCCTTATGGAATCACTATCTTTCTACACATACCACACAGTCCAGGCTTACACATACCACACAGTCCAGGCTTACACATACCACACAGTCCAGGCTTACACATACCACACAGTCCAGGCTTACACATACCACACAGTCCAGGCTTACACATACCACACAGTCCAGGCTTACACATACCTCACAGTCCAAACTCCATATGGAATCACTATCTTTCTACACATACCACACAGTCCAGGCTCCTTATGGAATCACTATCTTTCTACACATACCACACAGTCCAGGCTTACACATACCACACAGTCCAGGCTTACACATACCACACAGTCCAGGCTTACACATACCACACAGTCCAGGCTTACACATACCACACAGTCCAGGCTTACACATACCACACAGTCCAGACTTACACATACCACACAGTCCAGGCTTACACATACCACACAGTCCAGGCTTACACATACCACACAGTCCAGGCTTACACATACCACACAGTCCAGGCTCCTTATGGAATCACTATCTTTCTACACATACCACACAGTCCAGGCTTACACATACCACACAGTCCAGGCTTACACATACCACACAGTCCAGGCTTACACATACCACACAGTCCAGGCTTACACATACCACACAGTCCAGGCTTACACATACCACACAGTCCAGGCTTACACATACCTCACAGTCCAGACTCCATATGGAATCACTATCTTTCTACACATACCACACAGTCCAGGCTTACACATACCACACAGTCCAGACTCCATATGGCATCACAATCTTTCTACACATACCACACAGTCCAGGCTTACACATACCTCACAGTCCAGACTCCATATGGAATCACTATCTTTCTACACATACCACACAGTCCAGGCTTACACATACCACACAGTCCAGGCTTACACATACCACACAGTCCAGGCTTACACATACCACACAGTCCAGACTCCATATGGAATCACTATCTTTCTACACATACCACACAGTCCAGGCTTACACATAACACACAGTCCAGGCTTACACATACCACACAGTCCAGGCTTACACATACCACACAGTCCAGGCTTACACATACCACACAGTCCAGGCTTACACATACCACACAGAGTCCAGGAATCACTATCTTTCTACACATACCACACAGTCCAGGCTTACACATACCACACAGTCCAGACTCCATATGGCATCACTATCTTTCTACACATACCACACAGTCCAGGCTTACACATACCACACAGTCCAGACTCCATATGGCATCACAATCTTTCTACACATACCACACAGTCCAGGCTCCTAATGGAATTACTATCTTTCTACACATACCACACAGTCCAGGCTTACACATACCACACAGTCCAGGCTCCATATGGAATCACTATCTTTCTACACATACCACACAGTCCAGGCTTACACATACCACACAGTCCAGGCTTACACATACCACACAGTCCAGGCTTACACATACCACACAGTCCAGACTCCATATGGCATCACAATCTTTCTACACATACCACACAGTCCAGGCTTACACATACCACACAGTCCAGGCTTACACATACCACACAGTCCAGGCTCCTGATGGAATCACTATCTTTCTACACATACCACACAGTCCAGGCTTACACATACCACACAGTCCAGGCTTACACATACCACATAGTCCAGGCTTACACATACCACACAGTCCAGGCTTACACATACCACACAGTCCAGGCTCCATATGGAATCACTATCTTTCTACACATACCACACAGTCCAGGCTTACACATACCACACAGTCCAGGCTTACACATACCACACAGTCCAGGCTCCTTATGGAATCACTATCTTTCTACACATACCACACAGTCCAGGCTTACACATACCACATAGTCCAGGCTTACACATACCACACAGTCCAGACTCCATATGGCATCACTATCTTTCTACACATACCACACAGTCCAGGCTTACACATACCACACAGTCCAGACTCCATATGGCATCACTATCTTTCTACACATACCACACAGTCCAGGCTTACACATACCACACAGTCCAGGCTTACACATACCACACAGTCCAGGCTCCTGATGGAATCACTATCTTTCTACACATACCACACAGTCCAGGCTTACACATACCACACAGTCCAGGCTCCATATGGCATCACTATCTTTCTACACATACAACATAATCCAGGCTCCTAATGGAATTACTATCTTTCTGCACATACCTTACAGTCTGGGTTCAAGATTTGCTATCTTACAATATACATAACCCACAGCCCTGCCAATAAATACTGACATTTTCAATTTCCTTGTTGAGTATGTTTCTTGTTTCACATTTTCCATGACCTCACCATGCAGGTCTATTTACATACCCAACTAGTGTAGATATCTTTCCTAGTCACAGTCACTTACCGAAGTGGCCCAATGCCTTGTACTGGGGCAAGTACTCTTTGACCTATAAAGGTCAGCGGTAGGTGTGTAATCCTTGTTCTGTTACCTTCAATCATAATAAATCACCATATTTGGTCCTGAAGTCCATATAATATTATTAGTACCAGGATAACTGCCCGTCAACACATAAAAGGTCGTTAGGGCCATCCACCGTTGATAAAACACAAGGATCCAAAAAGGAAATAACAGCAAACAAACCAAAAGGTAAAAGACAAATGCTAAAATTTTTGAATGGTTATATTATCACAAAAGATTAAAAGTATAAATTGTCATAGTCTATAGTACATACCAACGTCTTTCAGATAACCTAGAATTTTACTAATCTCAAAAGTTTCAAAAAGGGTCTTTAGACTTGTCATGTTACAATAATAAATTTCTCGAGTAGACAGAAGGTCAATGCTGTCCAATACGAAAGTTGAAGGCAAGTTCATGATATAGTATTAATGTATTACGAATGAAAATATTTTCAATATTTCTATTGCTAAGACATTGTAGTACAGGAAGAGAGTCTGAATAGATAACAGCTCTCATTACTTTGTTTAAATATATTCAAGGATGAGGTAGATAGCTCGCCCGATAAAGTATGGTTTTTAAAATACCATCATACTACATCTGTCCTGTCTAGGAAGGACATACCTATTTTCCATTTAAGTCATTTTACAGTAAAGTAATTTCAGCTATCACTTATAATTTTGATAGCATTTATTTCTTTGTGAGGTTTTTTTTATTTCATTTTAATTTTTTTAATAAGTTATTGGATTTTATTTCAAAGCACTGTGTGTCCAGGAATTAGAATGTGGAAAAAATTCTGCTGTTTCAAAATATGTAACCATACGTCATAGCTGGTAAAATATGTGCATATATCTGCACTAAAAACTTTCTTTTTTTTAAAAACATGAATGAGAATAAAACCGTTTACCCTAATGATAACCTTGGACACTTACATATAATTGTTATTGACACACACTGGTACATGGCAGGGAGTTATAATGACCTAAATTATTGGCCAGTATTAATTAAAGCATTTGCATATTTGATGTTGATAAATACCCAACAAGCAAAGTTATTCAAACGAGCAGGAAAAATGTGGAAATGTCAAGCTGATATTAAATGCTGATATGGCATAATAATTCTGTACTTTTTTGACCTATGTAACATCTGGGTTCTGGTATCTTTGACCTAGGAGTTCCTAATCTAATGCCGATTCTGTAGCACGGTGACCTACTATGCTGCAAAAATGTACTGCAGCAAAGTGACCTTTAGTGATTATGTAACACAGTGACATATAATGATTCTGTGACACAGTGACATATAATGATTCTGTGACACAGTGACATATAATGATTCTGTAACACAGTGACATATAATGATTCTGTGACACAGTGACATATAATGATTCTGTGACACAGTGACATATAATGATTCTGTGACACAGTGACATATAATGATTCTGTAACACAGTGACCTATAATGATTCTGTGACACAGTGACATATAATGATTCTGTGACACAGTGACATATAATGATTCTGTGACACAGTGACATATAATGATTCTGTAACACAGTGACATATAATGATTCTGTGACACAGTGACATATAATGATTCTGTGACACAGTGACATATAATGATTCTGTGACACATATAATGATTCTGTGACACAGTGACATATGATGATTCTGTAACACAGTGACCTATAATGATTCTGTAACACAGTGACATATAATGATTCTGTAACACAGTGACCTATAATGATTCTGTTACATCATGATATATGATGATTCTGTAACACAGTAACGTATAATGATTCTGTAACACAGTGACCTATAATGATTCTGTAACACAGTGACCTATAATGATTCTGTAACACAGTGACCTATAATGATTCTGTAACACAGTGACATATAATGATTCTGTAACACAGTGACCTATAATGGTTCTGTAACACAGTGACATATGATGATTCTGTAACACAGTGACCTATAATGGTTCTGTAACACAGTGACCTATAATGATTCTGTAACACAGTGACCTATCATGATTCTGTATTATAAATAGCCTATATATTATAAATATCCAAGTTTTGGTGCAGTGACCTACAGAACAATGATTACAAATATTTCTCCAATAAATACATCACCTTCTCATTAGAAATCTGATGATGTTACATTTAAGTTGAAATATTTAATATTGTAAGTAGTTTATTTTTTCAATCTAATGTTTGGTAAAACAAGAATTTTTAGCAAACAGTTTTCAGCTGCCAAGGGCACATATATGAGATGTTAAGAGGTCTGAACATTAAATGTTCAAACTGAACAGGAAACTACAACTGCCACACTATCCTAGATATAGTTCATATGCACCAACTTCTAAAGGTATCAGTTAGTGGTTGAGAGTTTAAGTGACATTACCATGGTAAGTCTGATGAATGATCACAGAGCTAAAAAGGTCATCACAATTGAGCATTATGAGTACAATCTCTTGTAGAAAATGTGTCAGACACTACCAAGTATGACTTAAGATAAACATGTGTACACCAAAGGATGGATACTCTGCTTCCAGAAAAAGGTTTGCTTTTCCAAAACTTTGTTGCATGTGAAACACATGTAATGAAAAGTTGATCCCCATGAGTTTAGAATTTCAAGTCTTTGGCACTATAATTATACCAACAGGATCATTTTCATACACCAACAAAATTCAATAGATGGTTCACTTATTTCAATTGTTTTGTTTATTCCATGTATTTGTACTTTGATGTGATTTTTTTTAGTTTCATGCTTTTGAAAGAGAAACTTTTCTACAAATTGATTGAATGCGTGTAGCAAGTATAAAATAATTATTTTCCCCCTGATAAACTATTTATTTGTTCGTTGTTTTTAGCTTGTGTACATTGTAAGATATTTGAATATTTAATGATGTTGTAGTCTGTTTTTTGTTTACATCACTAAACGACAATGATCAACACACCAGGTGAATGTAAACAGATGTTCCAATCAAACAAAAAGGCAGTTCAAACAGACCGCTGTAAATTGACCTGTTGCCATTGACTCCTCCAATCTCTATCAAATGGGCGGAGCTAAGTGTTGTTTTTTTTATCGAGAAAGGAAAAGAAAAAATTGACGAATCAGCAAGCTGCATTTTCCACACAAACAACGAAAAATTAATGGTTATGCATTGAGTCTGATTTGAAACACTGACTCAATTATTCTATCAAAATTTTGACATCATGGCAATGTCAAATGCTTAAATATCAGTCTTGAGGTACGCACACCAAGATACTGATAATGTCAAATGTGTCTCCGAGTGGAAAACATAGACCTTTCAAGATCAGGTGTACAATATTGAACAGAAATCAATATAAAAGCAAATTTCTTTCATTTACATTTATTACATATATTTCAAGAATAAAGCTTGTCTTTCATCCTTAATCTCCATCAAACATCTTTTGTAATATCTCCATATAACAGCTTGTGTGATGTTTTCCAAAGCATTGTGTTATTTGCATACTTCAATATTGTTCAGCACAATTACCCATCAGCTCTATCAGCAGCCAAATATTTTATTTCATATTGTTGCAGTCCGTAGATAATTCACAAGGCACAGATTTTGTGTGAATAAATCTTGCACCTCATGCCAAGCTTCTGTCTGCACTTTACTCACACTTTCTAACTCCTTAGCTAATTTTGGTTCACCAGCTATAAGACTTCCATGGACCTGAAACAGAAACAGAATTATCTGGTATTTGTACGGCTGTTTTGACCTAGGTAACAAATTTCTGTCAGATTTGGTACGCCTGCCTCAATCATCATCAAAGCTATGTGATGTGTCTAATTTCCATAAAATAGGGTCATTTTTGTGAATCTAATGTATAAATGTAACGCAGATTAGTATACAGTAATATCGTAACTTACATGCTTTTTGCTTTCTTTCTCAACACTTAAATTCTAATTTCTACAGGACATGATATAAGCTATATATAATTACCTGGAGAAATAATCCCAGGTAAGCATTGGCTAGCTCAAAGTCTCTTCTAGTGGTAAGGACATAGCGGATAAAACTAAGGAAACACGACATTAGTTCCAAAGAACCCCCACCATCAGGTTCTAAAGATCGAATCTCAATATCTATGGCTGATGGTCCCAGCTTTTTCATCATCTGAAGTGTCTCCTCAACTGTAAAAGAAATAAATTGATCATTTTCTGTGTATTGTTACAGATCTGAGCGGGAATTCTTCCCTCCTTCACTGATACACAGTATCACAGTGACATACCACTTGATGGGGTAGAATTTGGGTCAGAACCAAGGTATTGTCAAGGTTTTCAACCCACATTCAATCCCCTTATTATTCCATAATTCTACATACCTTTAATATGTAATTGACTACTTTTCTCATTTCTTTAATAAACATTTGGCAAATATAGTATATGTATACAAAATGCTGATATAGCAAACTTTCTTAGTCAACTACAACTAAAGGATTGATTTAAAAACAGAAAAAAGTACATTATGTATAGCATACAATTATAATATAAAGAACACTACATTCTCTTCATAACAAGCTTGTGTGATTCTTCCTCTTGTTAATGAGATGGAATCAGTTATTAATGGAATGATGGTCATATAAGCAGGCGAGAAATATTTGACAGACTTTTGATTGTGATGTCCTAGTGTAATACTGTCCTCTTTATGACACATAAGTGAATAGCACCTTTTCTTAATTTAGAGTGAGATACACCAGAACCAAACAATGAATTTAACTACATCATACAGCTGTTTCATCCTTCCTTGACACTTTAGTGATGCTAGGGTCTTAAATTTTTTACTCTAGGAAGTGACTAAGGAAAATCCAAAGTGATCGAAAGAAAAGTCAAAATCTAGACGAGAGGTGCAACAGCAATGTATCAAATTACATTACATTACTGTGGAATAGAGTTATCCAACAGAGGACACATTTATTTTACATGTACAGAAGTGGGAGAAAATAAGTGATCATTCATGAACTCCATGATTCATCTCCCTTAGTCGGGGGATTCAATTATAATGCATTTCACCAAACAACATCTACTGTAAACATACATAATTGGGCATAAAAAAAACATTGAGCAAATTATCACCTTTCAGCACATTAGGCAATAACAAACTCATGCATCTACAATAATTGTTACATAACAAGCAATTAGCACCATCATATTTCAGCACAATGCTTTCAGTGCAAAAAACTCTAAAATGAAATAATTGTTAAAATATGCATGTTTATTGTACATTATCTTATTGGTAATGTCAAATAACTTGGTCGTATCCTGACACGGTAGTTGTTCTTTACAGTCAGTAATATTACTACCTTGTTTAGCTTTCTAGCTGCCCTTTATTACCATACATATTACACCTGTGAATATAAATTTTTTGTATTTTGTGTAGTTTTCAGACTTAGTTTTTGTCTTTGATATCCCAGTATCTTTCAAGCAAATATCTCTTAGTTAGTTATGCAGTGCGCTACTACTATAGCCTACATATACTTACAATTAGCATCTTCTGTATCCTGTGTTAACACTTTACCAAGTGCTGAAAGTGGCTGAAGATTTCCTTTGATGATTTTAGACATACTCTGTGAAAGAAAAGTATATTCACTTTACAATAATTTAAATCACTAAAGTATTCATTTTCTGTCTACACATATTCATGTTAATTTCAGAACAACAATTACAAAAGAAGCAAATAACATTTATAAATAGCACCTGTTGGTCTGGATTGAAGTGTGCTAAGGGTCTTACTGTTGGAGGAACTGAAGCACAATGGGAAGACCCTTGTGGTGGGCAGGTGATCCCAGAACTTTTCATATCCAATCAGGGAACTGAACCCTGATTGCTTAAAAGTGTACATTACTACATAGCTATCTAAGCACTTATAATTGTGATATTGTAGATTTTATATTATACAAACATATCTTCAAACAATTTCTGTAAGAATCAAGTCAGTCAGGCGCATCAGACATTTAATTTTCTGGTTTAGACATCCGATAAAAAAATGTTAATTTTACATTCCAATTATCATCACATTATCCCCTGACAAATGGAACATGATATTAAGCAGATTCCACTGTACAATACCATTTCCTACATCAGTAAGAGAACTAATGCTTATACAGGTGTACCAATGCAAAATCAGGAGTGCTAACTATGATGCAATTGTACCATCAATTGACAATATTCCCAATTCACTCTCAGCTATGAATTATTTGATAGGAGTAAAGTTCTGGAAATACATTTTAATGACATTAAAGTGCTACAGATATAGATACCTTGTCCTCATCTGCTTCTGCTTCAGCAAACTTGAACTCCAGTCCAGCGACAGTGGGTAGGAAGAATGGTGCTGCCTTGGGGGCCTTCGGGGGGTCTTTAGGCTTATTTCTCCTCTAAGGATTAAACACAAAGCAATTTTTAATCTGTTAAACAGAATATCACAGGGACTCCATACGTACATACATGTAATATATATTTAATAATATTATCACAGGGACTCTTGTACATACATGTAATATATATTTCATCATAATATCACAGGGACTCTTCTAAATAAAACTGTTCTTATAAAAATATCTCAGGGACATGTACAGTATTCAGGTTTTATCATAATATTACAGGGACCTATGTACATACATGTAATATATATTTAATCATATTATCACAGGGACCTATACAGTACATAGGTTTTATATATATTACAGGGACATGTATATTATCACAGGTTTTATCATAATGTACAGGGACAGGTAATATATATTTATCATAATATTACAGGGACATGTACAGTATTACATACATGTAATATATATTTAATCATATTACCACAGGGACAGGTACAGTATTCAGGTTTTATCATAATATTACAGGGACCTATGTACATGTACACATTTTATCATCGTATGACAGAGACTAATATACATATACAGATTTTATCACAGTATGACAGATATTCCTGTACACAATAATGATTTTATTACAAATACTTAACCTAGTGATCATATATGCTTCTCCTGTATGTCACGATTATTTGCATTTTCTTGAAATATTTTCTAAATATTAAAACTATATCTAATCTTTTATAGTTATGGTTGTGAAGAAAGCATTGTGATTGGATTACCCTGATTGTGTCGAGATTGAGCAGATTCTGCCATCGAGAGTTTGGTAGTAGTGACAAAGTTACAAGTTCATCTGATATTTGCTGTGGAGATTTGAAGTCAGTAATTTCCTCCTCCTCTGTTGAGTCCTCTTCCTCTTCTGCCGATCCTAGCGTATATAAAAACAACAATGTTAACAACTTTGTTTGAATACCTTTAATTCGTAATGTTAAATTTAATTTGTAATGTTAAGACTTTAATGACAAATGTAATAATCTGATGTACCAGTTCTGAATGCATTAAAATAAAAAAAATATCTCAGGACATAACGTTAAGTCTGTTAAGGAGAAATATTTTACAGAGGCAAATACACATGTACATGAACATTAATATAATACTTTCATCCAGCAATGTAGGTTATTACCGGTATAATTGTTGAAGTAGTTGAAAAATGTAAATTGACAAATTTTTATCTTTATACTAAAAGTATTCAAAGTTTTCAAATCAAGTCTTACCGGATTTCTGTTTACTTGTGGCAGGCATAGCCAAAGTGTGTGGTTCAAAGTCTGAAGGGAGGGGCTTCAAGGGTACATGTGAGAAGAGTGTGAGGTTAGACCAGAGATAAACTCCGATATCATCAACGTGGGCCGTCACCAGAAAATCCCCTGTTGGAGACATTGACAAGGTTGTCACTGCGGTGTCTACTGCAAAACAGTCGACTAGTCTGAAACAGATCATAAAAATCACCAGGTAAATAGACTTAAAATGTATACGAACTCAGTTTATAGATGCAGTAATTGGTAAGAACAGATCAGCAAAATTATAGGGGTTTCAGGTCATCAAACATTTTTACATGTGTTTCAGCTTTTATACATATATCTAAACACTGAATAGATTTTATAACAGATATCAAGACTAGTTACAAAATGTGTGTGTGATGTTTTGATAATTATATTGCCATCTTTAATAGGCAAGTCATGTATTTTTTAATGATGTATTTTGATGTCAAAATCTTAATAAGTTAATTATAATCTGAAAGAACAGTTTTGGTTTCTAATATCATGTATAAACCTATAAAAGGGATTTGCTTTTGGATTTAGTGATGGTGTTTTTCCCCTTTTTAACAAAGTATGAAGGACCTGAAAATTAAACAGGACATTCAAAACTTCATTTAATGAAAACTGCTAAATCTAAATATGCATCCTCAACGTCCCCAAAACTTTAAATGCAATATTGTGCAAAGCTACTTACAACCATTCTTAAACATACCTGCCTGTGGGCATGTCCCAAGTGCGTACACTGCAGTCCATTGAGGCTGTGATCAGCCATCGGGAGTCAGCACTGAAGGTCTGGAAATAGTAAATATAAAGGTGAAAAATTTAACAGGACTTGAAATCAATCCCTTTGGATAGACTTTGGGCTCATGTGAAGATAAGACTGGAATTTCTTGATTAACAGTTTAAATAAAAAATAAAAAGTCTGTTGTGATTAATAAAGGTGCGGAATGATGACCACTTACCATATCTGTTACACTGTTGGAGTGACCGAGAAAGGTTCTCACTACCCTTTTAGTGTCAATGTCTACTATCTTTATACTGAAATTATCCTCCGAGACAGCCATCATAGAACTGAAACCAAAACTTGATAATTACCTCTCAAGTCTATCACAAGAAATGGAACAAAAAATAGTCAGTCATTTTACTGAAGTAATCTTCATCGAATATACAGCTAATACTGAAATGAACTAAGAGATTTCCAAGACATGAATGCCCCAGCTCTCCTGCATTAAGAGCTTGGTACACTATTGGGTAAATATGGACCAAATATTTTTAGAGAAGCTCTCAAGATACAACATGATTTTGCAATGGAGCAAGACAAGAAATGGTGGAAAGAGCACATCAAGGGATTAAGGGAAACCTATGTATAAAATTTGAGAAAGATTCACCCTGCATCTCTCAAGAAGTCATCAAAAGTTTTACCTCTCTTTGTGTAAACAGATCTGTGATATCTGACTTCCCAATTGGAGGCAATTCAGAAGCTTCCGATCTTTAAACTTCCAGAACTTGATATCACCTGTACTACCTGCTGTGATCAGCATCTGGTTGAGACCATCTATAGCTACCCCTCGTACACAACAGTCATGCGCTGAAGTGAAATGGCAAAGTTTGGCGTTAGTACACATCATCATTAAACACTGAATCATCTCATCGGTATGAAATGTTTGGTGTACTCTTATGTAATCTCTTGAAATTCCAGGTCAAACGTGATCACACCATCATCAGTAGAACAATTGTAATACATTACCATGGTACCTATAACCTTCTTTATGTAAATGTAAGGAATATTTGGATAATCAAATCTACTAATGTATTTGGAATATGCATAGTATGTACACACACTTTCTTCTCGTTTAATGCAAATATGATCTAAATATATTTACTAACATGGCTGCTTTTACAATGGTTCAAAATTCAATGTTTAATCAAAAACTTGAAACAAAAAAATTTCTTTTTCATGGATGTCATAAGATAGATGTCTCTGTCAATAACAATTCCACAGTATCTTTTTCTTGCTGATTAATCAAAATTTCAAAAAAAGCAAAAAACAGGACATCTAAAAAATTGACATATTTACAGCAATATTATATCTTTTTTTATATTTTAAACTAAAAATCTGATTAAGAGATTGAGAAAAAATTACCTTGAGATTTTATTGATACATGTATACATGACATCATTAGTACAATATTGTTTAAAACGGGCAAATTCCAAATACCTAAAATTAGTTTATTCTGTTGATCTTTTCCCCAATAATAAAACTTAAAATTTGCTCTTAAAGACCGAGAGAAATCTCACAAAAGTTTAAGAGTGAAAAGACTATACAGTGCAAGAGTAAACATCAATATATGTACCACTCTAAAAAATCTTAATGACTAGAAAAATGTCTATAATAATTGTCTGCTTTGTATTATGTAATATTGTATATTGTATTTACATATATAAAAGATATATACATACTAACATTTTTACTTTTGATTTGGCAATTAGATCATATTTCTTCTATGTGAGAATGTCTCACCTTTTGGATCTCCGTAACTGCCTCTGTGTATACCCGACTGAAGATTGTACTTATCTACATGCCCTGAGCTGTATCCAATCACCGTAAAGTTTCCACATGAACTGATGTCAACAGCCTGTAAATTAAACTCTAATTTAAAAAGTACGTCATTTTAAAACATGTCATCCTCACTGCTACCCGACGCAAACTTTTATAAAAATAATTTCACACTCTTAGCACTGTGATAAGTATATGTATATTTGGAATACCACAAAAATTCTAAATAACAGATAAAAGATTTATGTATTTGTAAAACTAAAGTGAAATTATTGAAAAGTCAATGTTATTTTCTTCATTATGTCATAAAATCATTTTAGTCTCCATGTAAACTGCCACATGTTGCCTATGTATCATGTTTTTGCCAAATATTAAAGTTCTGTTCTGTCTTTGGTGTTCTAGCTTAGCTTTAATTCCGCTATCCAATTGTGCGATACACTATTATAACAAAAAATTACATTTTAAAAATGGTTGAATTCAAATTAACTGTTCTAACATTTACATGTTGTTACAATTCATATGGGTCACCGTTATACATTAATAGAGACTGTGTTTAACCCTAATAGGTAGTCTTCAGCAGGTGCTGTTTGATAGTAGGGTATCCCTCGTAGAAGTGTAGCAGAAAGGCACTGATTTTAAATGATAATGTGAAAGACTTGTACTAGCAGAGTGTTTCTATATAGACACCCTCCATGTATTTATGTCTTAAATATTCCTATCAAAATGAAGGTACCTGAGCTATATGTTATCATTATACCAATGAGAAATGTATATCATTGCATGGGATTGTGGTAACTCTGTCAGTAGAGAGTTTAACTTCAATAATCCCTACTTGGGGCAGCTATATGTTACCAGGAATACCAATGAGAAATGTATATTACTGTATGAGATTGTGATAACTCCGTCAGTAGAGAGTATAACTTCAACAATCCCTACTTGGGGCAGTTTGTGTTTTTCAGGAAGTTGAGAAAATCCAATGGTTACTACCAGGAAAATGTCTTGAAATAAGTTTCGCTGTGGATAGGCACCTGAGTTATACTTATATCTGAAATATTCTAACAGATATGTACCTGCTATATCTACATCTGGACCATCTCTTAAAGATAGGCACTGTACCTGGGCTACATCTATATCAGAAACACCCCTAAAATATAGGTAAACTATACTTATATCTAGAACACCTGTAAAAGTGTATCTGGAACACAGCTAAAGGACAGATACCTGAGCTACAGTACTGTTCAATGCTTGGCTGTTGAACCTGTCGTGACTGAATCTATGTTGACCCATGGTTGACCTCTGATAGCTCCATGTGGTTGCTGTACACAGGCCACGGTGACAGGCTACAATGTTATCCCAGTCACTCTGTCGACTGGACTCTGTAACAAAAAAGGTATAATACATCCACAACAATTAATACCTCACTGTAATATTCTCTATCATTCTAACTTTGTGTCTCACATTCAGTGTAATATTCTCTACTATCATTCTAACTTTGTGTTTCACATTCCATGGAATCGGCAAAATAATATACCATGGAAAAACTGTTTGTTAGCTAAGTTTATAGTCCAGGGTCATTTTGAGATGGAGTCCCCTTTTAGCAGTCGGTGGCTACTTCACTGAACAACATACAGGAGGCCGATCACTTGCCATTGAGAGCAATTGGGGCAGAATCACATCAGAACAGATCAGTCTGTTTCTTAGCTTCTTAAGAAAAATGAATCACTAAAGGTTGGGAGCATCGAAACTGCACATCTCCCAACATTCTGAGGATTATGTAGGGTAACACTCACACTCTAACCTTCTGACCTCTTGTGACCCCAAGCAATTTTTTACTGTATGTATAGATTTAAAGACTTACATACCATGGTATGTGATAATTTATTTTCCTTTGTTGCCTACAGATGTGTACAAGAACACTGATCAATGAATGGGACTTTGATCACCAATATATGCAATTCTCAACATTTTTCTGGTGAAACTACTTTTCAGTTAAGTATGTATATTTGGGCTTTAACCTCATTGTTCAAGTTAAAACAGCACCTATAAGACTTGTGAAAAACACTGAGATGGAATTTTTGGGAAGATGTTGATGGAGAAGATAAGGTCATTGTTGAGTTGGAGCAACTTTAGAAAATGCCACAAATGGCTCAAATTAATTACAAGTTAATTACATTGATCTGTCCATGTTTTATGCTACCATGATAATTGTAACACAATATTAATAATAATTACTGAATAGTAACTACCTCCATATCATATGCATGATTTATTATGTATACAATTAAGCTTGGATGATTAAACAACTTTGTTTATATAATTGAATGTAAATGAGTTATTGCTAATTTTATCACACATCATTTGACAATGTGCTCTATCTTGCTAGAATGAACCACTCTACTGCTTTCTTGCCCTGAACTAAAGCTTTGCTGAAGGGACTGTTTAGATACAATAAACAAACAAGAAACTAAAGCTTCTTTATGTACATAAAGCACTTATAAAATACATTCCATTTCCTAGCAAGAGAATTGGAAAACATTATGGCCTCTGTTAAATAGGCGACATGGAGAGACCTGGGAGATATTGACAAAGATTGTGGATAACCCTTGACACATGAAGACAGTGGGGTTGGGTCTTAGAGCCTAGTCCCTGTGTGTGACCCTATTAATTATCAATCATTATCTTGTCTTAAACATGTGCATGTGTTGCACATCTCAAAAGACAATGGGTACTAAATAACGGTGAATGGATTCGGATAACTTCCAGTTTTGTTCTGATTAAATGCTGTTTCTACCATCTCCGTTTTAGGGGAGCTATCAGGATATATGTCCTTATGTTTCTGTTTTACTGCTGATTAAATGCTGTTTCTACCATCGCCGTTTTAGGGGAGTTATCAGGATATATGTCCTTATGTTTCTGTTTTACTGCTGATCAAATGCTGTTTCTACCATCGCCGTTTTAGGGGAGTTATCAGGATATATGTCCTTATGTTTCTGTTTTACTGCCTAACAGTTATCATTACCTGATACAAAATGTGTAACAGAGGGCATCATGTGCTTGTCTCTCTTCAGGCCGGTCTTTCTCGTCTCAGACTTGTTGTATGAAGCACGTCCCAGACTTTTGTAATGTTTGTCATGAACTGTAGAAAATGAGCGCATCGTGCTGTCTTGTCCTGTTAAAAAACATTATATATTGGTTATATCAGTTATCATTTTTCTACAATAGAAGACAAGAGTACTTTGGATTTTGTTTCCACAAAATTTAATGATTAATTAACATGACATACACTAATGAGAAATCTATAGACTATTTATTGTGGTTGTATAGTTACAAATTGTTTTCATTTACCAATCAAATGTTTTGCTACATCTCGAGTGATGAAAGTTTTTCATATCTTAAATCATAGAAACAGTAGCAAACTTCAAAATAAACAGAAACAATAAAACAAAGATATTAGTAATGATGATATTACTTGATAACCATACCTGCACTGAGAATATTTTTGCCATCATTTCCATAATGTCTTAGTCTGCTGGGTGGAGCAGAATGTCCTGACCTCTGATTTAGTAGACGACCTCCACCATCTGGCAAGTCCATTATCCACACCTATCAAAACAAGTACAATATCCCACTAAAATATCCAATCTTAAGTACATAATAAAAATTACAACTAGATGTTTCCTTTCATCAAAACTAATTGACTCTCCCTTATATCTCATAGCATGACATATTACTGTGTATTACGGCAAGTGTTCCCACTGAAATATTTCCCCTCAATAAGAAAGTGCTGAAGAGAGATTGTGAAGAAATGGGCTAGCACATGTCTTAACATTAGCTGTGTAGATACAGATATGTAGTAAGGTCAACACCAACATGGTTTATACAGACATGTGAGACAATCAAACTTCTAGACTTTTTAAGGACTTCCTGACACTGAATTCCACATTTCTCCCAGAATTTTTCAGAGACAGTGATCAAAGTATTCTTCTTCAGTTTATGAGTTGTGATTAACAGTTCTTTATTTCCTATATTTCTATATTTCTATATTTAATCTTTTCAGCAAAGGTCACCCTTCATTTTTGTGGGTTTTGTGAATATTTTAGGTAAACATTTAGTTTTTTTATTTAACACCATAGATGCTAGGATTTTCAAGGTATTAACACCAAATTTTCCGTATAAGGGCTGAAGTTAAAAAAACATGTAAAAGGACATTATCATTCCAATTATTGAACATTTCTTGGTATAATAAGACGTCCTAACCTTCAGTGAATTATCAGCTGCTGAAGTCACTATCAATGGTTCAGAAGCCACACACACCATCCCTGTAACAGAGGTTGAATGTGCTTCTCTTATCTGACTGGTCAACTTCCTCTGTTCCAAATTCCACAAGGCCATGTGGCCTACAGCACTTCCTGTAACCATTACTGGGTGACCATCTGACAACAGAAAGCAAAAGTATTTTTGTTTGACTGTTTTACTCCAAACTAAACCTAAAAATCAGAGAACAGGATTTACATATATGATTGTCAAGAAAATAAATAAATGTTTGGACAGTTGTAATGTCATATATATTGGCCCAACTGCTTTCTTATTATTGCAGGTGATGTAGCACATCATTTCTTGGTTCAGTATTATGACAGGGGACGGACTACAAGATCTTGATTGATAGATAAGTTCAGTAAATAAAACATCAAGCCTTGTTGCTTTGTGATAGTTAATAACCTTTAAAAATAGCCCTTAAAGTAGTGATGGGGCAATGATCAAATATAATCAATTATCTAACCCTCTAGCTCCATCTAAAGTGATGATTGATCATATTTTTTCATACTTCATCATCTATACCTTTATATAAAGATGCCAATTGCCAATAATGTTTATTCTCATGCAAATTTTAGGTAAGTCAGGTATTTTATCTTAAACAAAAATGGAAAATGCATTCTCTGTCTATGAATATCTAACACAGCAATAGGTATGTATATAAATGTTATTGACTATTTCTGTAGAATATTATTAGTTAATAAAAGGTACTCACTGATTAATTCAAATCACAGTAATTACTTGTGCATATAACCTTCCTTAAATGTGATCAGTCTTACTTGTTCTGAAACCTTTGCTCGTGACAGGGTCCCAGTCTTACTTGTTCTGAAACCTTTGTTCGTGACAGGGTCCCAGTCTTACTTGTTCTGAAACCTATGCTTATGAAAAAACAGGGTTCTAAAACCTGTGTTTTACCTGTTCTGAAACCTTTGCTGAAACCTATGTTCTAAAAGTTATGGTTGTGACAGGACCAGAGTTTTACCTGTTCTGAAACCTATGCTTGTGGCAGGGCCCGAGTTTTACCTTTTCTGAAACCTATGCTTGTGACAAGGCCTGAGTTTTACCTGTTCTGAAACCTATGCTTGTGACAGGGCCTGCGTTTTACCAGTTTTGAAACCTATGCTTGTGACAGGGCCAGGGTTTTACCTGTTCTGAATCCTATGCTTGTGACAGGGCCCCAGTCTTGACGGAATTTTATCACTGTTTCATCATATTTGAGATTATGTAAAATGATCTGTCCATCATCCAATCCAATGGCTACAACATCAATGGCTGGAGACTGTAACAGAATTTTCATTGTTTTAGAATATTTAAAATAACTTTACAGTTTTGGAATATACCATAAATAAATAAATAAATATCTTAACACCAACATGACACAAACATAAGAAAAATAAACAAACATGTATCTCCTAATACACCAAGAATCGTTAAACAATTACAATACATCACTCTGTATGAGACTCTTTTCTCAACTGATATTTTACTCTTCATACAAACAGTGTTAATAAAGCTGACAATTCAAACAAAAAAACATATCTATATATATATTTCTGTATAACCTTCCAAGACATTCCTCCTATGCTAACTTATTTGACATGTTACATGTTTTTCATACCCTTGCATGTCCGTACCAGTTTCCGAGCAAGGTTTAGACTAAAATGTCTGCCACTTCTTTAGATACACAGACCAGAAGATGTTGTTATAGGAGGGTTCATCTCGGATACATTTTGAAACAACAACTTCGTTGTTCCTTTTGTTTATCTCATAATGAGAGCTTTTCGACTTGCAATGTCAGTTTTTTTATGAAATCAGGATATATATCTCTATGCCAATATTATACAATTATTTTCATATTTATATTTGATCCCATTAGGAAATAAATAAATATTTTCTCTTTATCTAACACCCTGACAAAATAAATATGTATTTCAAGCAAGGCATTTTATGGTTTTTACCTGTTCAGTAGCTGTGACTCCTGCATTCCATCCCTCAAACATATAAAGCATCTTGTCGGAGTGAATATTCCACAGCTGCAGCTTGCCCTGCTTGCTGCCAAGAAGAATCTTGTTCAGGTAGGTGCTTGGATGCATCAAGGTGGTTACACAAAAGTTTTTATTGTTGAAAGTCATCTCCATGTAAACAACTATTGAAAATAAAAATACATCAATTACCACAGATTTCAGTATTACATACCTAATGTGAACAAGGATCAAGTTTAACATTTCCTACAGGAAAACATAATCAATGTATACACAAAGTTTCATTATCCTGGTTTAACTGTTATGCTATGGACATGAAAGTTTAACAAAGGGCAGTAACTTTGTTATTGTGGAGCTGAGGGCCCTGACGTTGGTACAAAGCACATCGCCTTAGCAGGACCATGTATACACCAAGTTTCATTATCCTTGCTTAAGGATATACTCCTCTGATGTTTTGACTAAAAGTAAGGCATAAATAAACATAAAATGAATTCCAACATAATATCTAAGACTTTGGTCCTTTTTTATACTTTGCCATCTACAGTTGTACTTAAGACCCAAAAATAAATATTTCAGCTGGTTTTTTAATCTTAGAAAACTGGCTATTTGGGAGAAAATGCAACAAATTAAAGCACAGAGGAAACCTCTTTTTTAATCATGAAAAGCATTCTCAAAAATTCTCTTTAAAAGCTTTAAAGTCTTAAAAAAGTTAATTACTAGAAGACGGTCAAATAAAATGTAAAAGATAAAAGTTTAAAACCTAAATCAAATTAAAAAAAACTAGCATTTTAACATGATTTCTTTCTTAATATCCAAGTACCATAACCTTTCTTTGCAACGAAAAGACAAAAATTTATTTCAAGAAAAGGTTCCCACCAAAATAACAGAGAATATCTGTTTTTCAGGAAATACATCAGAATAATGTGGAAATTAATTATTTCCAGTTACATGTATCCTGAGGACTATCCTGGAAAAAGTAGTGCAACAATATATTTATTTTTTGCTTTTAATCTACTTTCTAAAATCAAACCTTTCCCAAAAATCATCATCAGACAAAAAGTTTAATACTGACTTCTCAGAGGAATACATCCTTAACTGTGGGCATATTTATGCTCCAGACTTGAAAGAAAGACAGATGGACAAGATGGCGACTATATTCTGCCCTGAAATTTTTGGAGGAGAATATAAAGTTGTTTTAGAAGAAATTAAATGATGAATAGTTTCAAAGCTTAGTTGTGTTTTACAATGATGCAATGAGGACTGTAAGCATCATTTTATGTCATACTTGCAGTTAAAGGGCAGCAGATAAATAAGACAAGAACATAAGGTTATATCATTTTACAGTCAATAGTTTACCTTCAGCATCCACATCCCAGACCTTGACTGTACTTTCTTCATCCACAGAAATGAGATGTTCCCCAAAAGGAAGCAACAAACGGATGTCTTTTTCATGACCTTCATATGTATATGACAGCTAAAACCATACAAAAGCATTACTTAAAATACTGTAGGCATGAAATTCAATGACTTGATGTTGAAAGTATCCAATTGGAAAATTTCACATTTTTAAGTGGGAGGGTACATTTGAGGACTAAATAAAATGAAGATGAGAGGACAGATTTATGTCTAAAATAGTTTGCTTTAATAAAGGCAATTGTAAACCTAAAAATTGTAAAAAAGAAAATCCATTAAAATCTCATCATTCATTGTAATATCTATAAATGTGAATGAACTTCATTTAAAGGTCAATCAGCTGGTTTGGATTCTTTTTTCAGTTATTTTTTAATGTATGCCAAGGAAAACATTCCTTTTAATTTGGATCACAAGCCAGTTAGTTGTCGTCTAGCTCTAAAACCCTTTCTTCATGATCAACCAAGTATGAAACTCATAGGATGAGAGGAAAAAAGAAATATCTTTTACAAACCTGCTTCCATCTTGTATAAGCTCGTATAACATTCCCACAACCAGTAAATACAAATTTTGAATCTACTGCTATGCAGTTTATATCATCAGGATGGATGTCACCTGAAAATGATTTCAGACAATCACTTTAAATATGATTATATCTATCAATATATTACACACAAAAACTTTTATATTGTTTACAGTGAATTCGTGTCTCTATTGGGAGATGCTTTTTTCCATGTCAGGGCAAAAGAAATGGGGAATAAGCATTTGTATTTGAAAAACCAATACAGGTACTAAATAGTTGATAACTAAAACTTGAAATGTCAGTACTACAAGAATGTACCTGCACCCACCTCAAATATTCACATTTACAGAATTTCAAACATCCCCAACAATTAATGGCAATGTGGGATCTGATGGCAAAATTGTTGTCAGTATTGCCAAACTTCTATCTATGAACATAATGGAAAGAAGTCCAGAAAAGTTAAATACAAAGGGCCAGAAATGCACCTAGAATTTGATTTTTCAACAAGTATTCAAACCACATTTGTATTCCTGGAGGATGACACCACACATCAAATTTAAAGTCAATGTCATTATCTCTGAACACAAGGTTAAAAAAGAAGTCAGAAAAATTACCATTTTACACAGTATCCTCGGCACAAATAGCTCAACTCCATCTAATATCATAATTATGAATGGGATTCAAGCCTGATCAGACACCCCATAGGTTACATCCACAAAGCAAATTCAAATTCTGAACAGGACAGGAAAAGTCCAAAAACTGCTATCTTACACACTATTTTAATTGCAAAGGGGAATAACTCATTATAAGTCATTATAAGACATGATCCCCTTATACAGCGAAGAAACTCTCCAAAAACTGTTTGAGGACATATGGATGGATGAGAGTAATACTTCATGCCCTCCATTTCATGGCAGGGGAACAAATAATTTCTGATCAAGATGAAAAGATAAATCATACTTACTGACACAGACAATCCCCAGTTTTGAAACCTGAAAATGAAATTTACAGATTACATAATCATTGACAATGATATTTTAATTGAAATGTGTTACTTAATCAGTGATAATTACATATATACACCAGATATATTTATAGTGCATCTCACAAACCTGATTGACTGTTGCATAACACTACAATACAACCAACATCAACTGTACAAATCTGATATCCCCTGCAGACCAAATAAAAATTATGATTTTTCAAAATAAATAATATTAAATTTCTCAAATGTACTTCTGTAGAAGGAGTGAGTTGGTATAGCTTGTACATGATAGTTTAGTGGATAAAGTCTCTGTCACTCAGCTGAGAGAGCATGCTTCTTAAGCTCAGATTAATGACAGAATCGAGGACTTAAGACACTGGAATCCTGGGTTCAAATCCTGTCACACCACTTTGCAAGATGCTTTTTATATTATACATGCATGTATCTTACAAATACATGTTACGTATGTAGCCTAACTTTAAAGCCTATACAAAAAAAAAAAAAAAAAAACAAGAAAATAATGAGATTTGTTTTTTATCAGCAATAAATGAATATATGTGATCTGCTCCAGGTCATTACATTTAGAGTAAAATTAACCAACTGAAACAAAGGGAAGTAACTAAAACCCGAAAAACATAGATTTAATCCTTACTTTGTAATCCTACAATAAACATGTAGAACTGTAGAACTTTTATTATACCATCGCTATGGGAACAAATGCTTTTGGTGTTAAGAGAAAAACAGAAAAGCAACCTGCAATCAGTGGGAAAGCTACTTAGTCATGGCAAACAGGCATCAGAATTGGATGCTTATACAATGAACATGCAGGGTTTTCCATAATTTTGTTAGTAGTAGGCTGTGTAGTGAAAGTAGGAGGCTGGCCTGCCGTGTACGTGTAGTCGTGTACGGAACATTATTACGAAACTGGATTGATGTAGACGGCCAAATGATCAAAGTAGCCGGTCAAATTGGCCGGCGACTGGCTCTTATGGAAAACCCTGAACATGCACTGGAATGCACACATCACAACAGTCAGCACGTCATAAATCACTGCTACAGTGTTTTTATCATGTACTCAATGTTACATTTTGTGTACTTTGTACAAATACCATGATGATAATTAAATATACATGCCAAAAAAGTATTTGTAGGGGAATGCAATGTACAATAGTATACATATTACAAACTAAGACAAAAAGAAGTAATTTGTATCAAATAGCATGGTCAGTTGCCCTACTACCATGTACTTGTAGGTTGTTACATCTTTTGTCCTTTAAACAAAAACCATGACAATATATACATAAGAAGATAAATATAAATAAATAAGGGCTGAATAGGATTTTCAATAACTTTTCAAAATTTTCAAATACCTTTACACCCAAACCCAAAAAACCAAAAATTAAGGTTGCGGATACATCAGATTGCTTCAGACATCTAACAAATTTTTAATTTGTTGTAATTGCTTTACATTAAACTATAAACATTACAAACATAACATTTCCACAAAGTTGGTCACCGATTATCATCAAATTGAATGTGTACCAGCTCTTTCAGGTATTGCAGCACCAGCAAATCTGACTACATGTATATAGGGAAAATGTAAACAACTTAGCCAAATCTTATAGCAATCTTGATGTGCATAGCAAAAAAATTGACGATAAATCTAGCGAGTTGCTAATTAATAAATTATTTCTGCTATAAGACACCATTTTGGAGGGGTTCGTTGAATTTTGTATTTACTTGCATCTCCTCATGTTCTGATGGTAAGACATGAATCTTCCTTAATTAATTACCAAAACATACCACTTGCTTCCACTACACAATTCACATTCACTGAAGGTTGTTTTTTAGCACAGAAACATTGTGCTAAAAGTGCACCTATGGCCCGAATCTGCATCAAAGGGATGCTTATCTGCAGATGACAAAAGAAGTGAATGCCATATTGGATGGACTCACTTTTGAGTTTGTCACAAAGTAGCGATACTGAAAATATGTAACAACATTTTTTTTTCAAATGTCTGAACTTGAACAAGCATGCCAAAATATTCATTTCGCTGACAAACATTATTCGTCATCCATTATTTTTTCGATCTGCACGAAAGAAACGTGACCGAATCTCACCTGCGTGTTTAGATGTGACTGTTTATATAGCCACATATCTGCCTATAGTCTAGAACCAGATTTGCTAGTGCTACAGTACCTGCCTTTACACTCTAAAGAAAATTATTTCTATTAAAACATCCATTATCAACTACACTTATATATGATATCAATTGAAGCATACATAGATATACCTACATTATATACGTGGTACGATTTCCCAACACATGTGATAACATAGTTATCCTTGTGCTTTTTGTGATACCGGACAGCCAGGGGGACATGATTGCTGACAAATCCGAGTGCCCGATATCCTTCGAAGATTTTACTTGCGACTGGCATGCTGTGTTTGTGTTTAAGAAAACATGTTTACACACATATTTATGGCGTTAACCTTAAAATAAATGTAGTTACAAACTAAATCATACAAAATATAAAAATATCAACAAATCCACGTGCAAAATTCTTGTGTGACGTAAAGTAGCTCATAATTTTACGACATACAATTTAAATGAATTAGATTAATCAAAACAAATTTCAAGTACTAAATGGTTTTTATAATAGTCTGCCAAATTATGCTTGGAACATACTAGTATTTTATGAAATGGAATTGATTCTTTACAAAGACGTAAAATCCAAACATTTGAAAAATCATTATCGGTAAAGGGTTTGAAATAGAGGTAACCTAATGTGCAGTTGGTAAGAACGTAACTGATCGAGTCTAGATATATTGCGGGATGATGTGAATTCTAAGAATAGACTGATTATCGCTCTGTCTGCATAAATCGTCAGGTCGTGAAGGTGTAAAGATGAGTTGTTCTTTTAAAAATTGTAAAAGTAATTCATTGGATGAATCGGAATGCAGAATTGAGGCTAAAACTGTCCTACCGAAGAGGGAATTCGATGAATCAAAACTTTGCATACGTTGGAGAAGTGATGGAGAGGCAAAGTTTCACAAAGATTGCTGGAATGATGTTTTAAAGTTGTCGCGTTCTCGTGCAAAGAAAAAGGATGGACCCAATATGTCGCACCAGGAGAAAGTTCTAGTGAAAGAGGCTGCAAAATCGTTCGAGCAGTTTGATTCTTTTCAACATGTATGTCGTGAAGCCAAGAGAGTCGCTAAAATGATAACCTCAAGCAAACACTGTGTTGCGTTTACAGGTAAAGATCGTGAAACGTAATAATTGATAATTACCTGTACAACAAAAACAGAGAAGTTCACAAAAAATACATAATAGGACAGATCATAATTTCAATATACCTAGGAACTTTTATTGTATGTCTTTTAAAGCACATGTTAATGTTTCTACAAAGAAAATTGGATCTAAAAAAACGTTATCATCCTATGTGGGATTCTCTTCATTTAGCTTCTTTCAAATGTTCACAGTTACATCACCAACCCAAAAGCATCTGACAAATTTGAGATGTGTCTAATGATATATTCTAAGTTTCGTCTGTGTCCAATGATGCATGTATATAACAAATTTTAGGATTTGTTTCATGATATCATATTGAAAAAATTGGTGATATGTCTAATGACATATTACAAATTTAAATTACGGTAATATTTTATGTGTAATGAAATAATACACAAGATATATTAAAAATTTGATGTGTGACTAAAGGCATAAAACAATTTTTGATATGTGTCTAATGATATATTACAATTTTTGGTATGTGTCTAATGATATATTACAGATTTTGGTATGTGTCTAATGATATACAATGTATTACAATTTTTGGTATGTGCTTAATGATATACAATGTATTACAATTTTTGGTATGTGTTTAATGATATACAATGTATTACAATTTTTGGTATGTGTTTAATGATATACAATGTATTACAATTTTTGGTATGTGTCTAATGATATGTTATAAAATTTATATATGTCTAAAGAAATATTACAAATGATTGAAGTCTGATGGAATAGAACACAATTGACATGTATTATGGTATACTACAAACATGGTATGTGAAAAATGGCATATAACAGATTTGATATGTGTCTAATGATACAATATAAATTTTCGTCTGTGTCTAAAGACACAGAAATAGTACACATTTGGTATGTATTATGATATATAGCAAACTTCGTATGTGACAAGTGGCATATGGCAAAGTTGATATGTGTCAAAAAATGTATTACAAATTTCCGTCTGAATTTAAATGGCTCTTAATATTTAATTCTAATAATGTGGTTTGTGTCTAATGATATATATAAAAAAAAAAAAAAAAACCTTTGTATATGTCAAATGAAATACTACACACTTGCTATGGCCTTGGTGATATATTACAAAGTTGATGTGTGACTATCAGCATTATAACAAGTCTTGATATACGACTATAGGAATAAAACTAATTTGATATGTGTCAAGGGAAAACTTACAAGTTTTGATATTTGCCTAACGATTTATTGCACATTCTGGTATGTGTCAAGTGATATATTATAAATTAGATATATGTCCTAATAAGATATTACAAATTTAGTATGAGTATGCGACTAATTGCACATGGCAAATGTGATATTTGTCTGATGATATATTACAATTATTGGTCTGTGTCTGATGATATATTACAATTATTGGTCTGTGTCTGATGGTATATTACAAATATTGGCCTGTGTCTGATGATATATTACAAATATTGGTCTGTGTCTGATGATATATTACAGATTATTGGTCTGTGACTGATGATATATTACAAATATTGGTCTGTGTCTGATGATACATTACAATTAATGGTATATCTAACGAGATATTTCAAATATTGGTATGTGTCTTAAGATAAGATACAAATTTGGGTAAATGTCTAATGATTTATTACAAATATTGGTATGTGTCTTAAGATACAGTACAAATACTTGCATATGTCTAATGATATATTACAATTATGTCTAATGATATATTACAAATAATATATAACTAATGGCATAATGCAATTTTGCTACATGTCTAATGATATATTAAAATATTGTCTAATGATATATTAAAAAAAATGGTATGTGTCTAATGATATTATCAATTTGAATTTGATATTTATCTATTGGAATATTACAAATCTGGTATAGACTAACGAAAATACATTTTGCTGCGTACTACGAGATATTACAAAATGGTATGTGACTAATGGCATACTGCAGATTTGTTATGTGTCTAATGATATTGTACAATATTAAGTCTGTGTCTAACGATATATTACAAATTTCCGTCTGTGCCTAATGGTTTTTTTTTTTTTAAAAAGATTGGTGTGTTTCAATTTATGTTAGGTCCTTTACTTGTCCTGTACATATTGTTATGATGTTATATCTGAAAGTGTTTATCTAAATGTAATTATCTAAGTTCTCCATCACGCAACGTGCCATACACAGATATACTCTTGTGAAAACCATGTTTTCTCTTTACGATTTTTTACGTCATTTTCCTTTATTTTCTATCTTGTATCTTTTCTGTTCTTTTCTTTTCCTTGTAAGAATTACTACTGGGTGTATTGGCTATAAAACCTTGGTAGATGGACCTGATGGCTACTCTATTGTCTACTCTATTGTTTATGTAATTTTTGATGATGATGGGTAATGATTTAATGCAGTATAGAGTAGCTATTGGTTGCTTCTACCAACGGATACACGGTATAAATACTACATTACATTTTTTCATTTTTATTTCTATCAGTAAACTGTTTACAAGATGTAGGTCTAGCTTAATGAGTATCATTACTTCTTTATTATTAGCCATTCACGCTACTCAGTCTGCCATTACTAACAACTCTTGCTTTCTATTAATTTTACAACTTCTCATCCTGTCATGTAACGATGTCCATCCTAACCCCGGCCCTATCGAGAAAACCGACATTTCTATCTTTCATCTAAATATTCGAAGTCTGAAAAACAAATTATCATTTCTAGAAAATATAGCATTAGATTATGATATTGTCTGTGTCACCGAGACTCACCTTGATAACTCCACCGTAGACGCTGATATACTCCTTAGTGATTATGATGTATACCGTAAAGATCGTGGGTCTCCGGGTGGGGGGATAGCTGTTTACGCTTCCAGGCTCTTGTGCACCCGTCATAGAGCTGATTTGGAATTCCGGGTGGGTGAAATTATTTGGACAGAACTCCAGTTTTCAGAGCAAAAATATCTTCTTTGTACTGTGTATAGACCTCCTAATTGTGATCGTTCCTTCTGGTATTACTTCCGACACTCAATTGAAACGGCTTTTAATGAAACTTCACACGTAGTAATCGTTGGTGATATCAACGTTGACCTCTTAACTATTAATAATAACCATGTATTTGTTGATATCCTTGACTCCTTTAATCTATCGAATATCGTTCAAAGACCGACACGTGTAGGACGTACAAGCTCGACCTTACTTGACCCGATTATTCTGTCTGACACGTGCAGTTTTAGCTACACCGACGTAATAGATATAGACAGTGACATCTCTGACCATAGCGCGACAACGGTTGAATTGACAGTTAGGACTAGTATTAGGAAGACTTATGAAAGAACTATAAGATGCTACAATGACGCAAATTATAACTTATTTAATAATAAATTAAACGATACGGACTGGGTAGACTTATTTGCGACTGCTAACTCTCCTGACGATATGTGTGAAATTTTTACAACGCGATACCTAGACATAGCTAGGGAATGTATACCGACTCGGACGGTGACCGTTAGACCTAATGACAAACCCTGGTTTGACTCAAATTTAAGACGTGAAATTTGGAAAAGGAATAGACTGTTGAAATTGTATAAATCAAACCGCTCCAACAACAACTTATCTAACTTTCGGAAACAACGTAATCATGTGAATAACTTGAAGAAACGAACAAAAGAATTTTTTTATGCTGATATAAATGGAATTTTAGATCGATACTCGAATTCAAATCCTAGAAATTTTTGGAAAATTGTACGTAAATTAGTTAAATCTTCAGACGAATCAAACATTATACCCCCTATTAGAAATACTCATGGCAACATTGAAATGACCGATGATGGCAAAGCTAATATTTTAAATGATTACTTTGTTTCCATTTCTACTATAGACGACATTAATATAGAATCTCCGACGGTAGAATTACGGACAGACTCGACAATATCAGATATACATTTTGAATTGAGGGACGTAATTGACATACTTAAATCTTTAAATGTGAATAAAGCTGTTGGTATAGACACAATCAGTCATAATATGTTAAAAAATACAGCAGTATCAGTAGCTTTCCCACTATCTCTCATCTTTAGATCCTCTCTGGAAACTGGGGTTTTTCCTAAAATGTGGAAACATGCATTAGTGATACCATTATTCAAAAAAGGGGACAAACACAATTTTGCTAATTACAGGCCAATTTCATTATTAAGCACTGTTGGTAAAGTTTTTGAAAGATTAGTTGTAAAATACCTTAATAACTATTTACTAGAAAATTCACTGATATACAAGTTCCAATCTGGTTTTCAACCTGGTCACTCGACAGTACATCAACTTATCGAAATTTATCATACTTTATGCGAAAATCTAGAAAAAATGCAACCTACATGTTTAGTTTTTTGCGATATATCGAAAGCGTTTGATCGTGTGTGGCACAGGGGTCTGGAAGTGAAACTAGCAAATTATGGTATTCGGGGTAAACTTTTAAATTGGCTTGTTAATTATATAAGTGAAAGAAAACAGCAAGTTTGCGTGGGTAACTCTAAATCCTCTATTAAATCTTCTAATGCGGGTGTTCCACAAGGCTCAGTACTTGGTCCTCTATTATTTATTTTATATATTAATGATTTAACCGATAATCTTCAGAGTTTCTCAAAATTATTTGCCGATGACACTTCTTTATTATACTCGAACCCATCCCCTTACAACGTTGAAACTGTAATAAATGATGATTTAGAACAAATTCAAAATTGGGCGAGAAAGTGGCTAGTAAAGTTTAATCCAACTAAAACAGAAGCATTACTTATCCATAATTCCGAATTAGACTACGCGATAGATATAAAATTTGATAATGTTAGTGTGAATTTTGTAGATAATCATAAGCATTTGGGGGTAACATTTGACCAGAATTGTAAATGGACAAGTCATATTGAGGACATTTGTAAAAAAGTATCTAAGCAGATTAGTATCTTGCGAAAACTTAAATTTATTCTAGGTAGACAAACATTGTATAGAATATATAATTCTTATATTATTCCACTATTAGAATATTGCTGTGAGGTATGGGATGGATGTACTCTCGGTGACGCAGACAAATTAGAAAAACTTCAATTAGAGGCTGCTCGTGTGATTACGGGGTTACCATCTTATACGAGCAGAGATTCCTTATATTCTGAATGTGGGTTAGAACCACTTTGCTTTAGACGCTCTAGAAGGAAATTGCAGCTTTTTTATAAAATCAAAAATAACTTAACACCTGATTATTTATCCACTCTTCTTCCCCCCTTAGTCTCAGAAAATTCACCCTATAACCTTCGAAATGCCAATAATTACTCCATACCAAACTACCGTCTACAACTCACAAAATCTTCTTTCTTTCCCTCTACTATTCATCTTTGGAATCAGTTAGATCACGATATCCGACAAAGTGAAACATATTCGGTCTTTAAACACTCTCTCCGTAAAAACACAGACATTCGAATTCCGCCCTATTTTCTTATTGGTGATAGAAAAACTAACATCCTGCATGCCAGATTACGTAACAGATCCAGTACTTTAAATAATGACTTGTTTCATGCTAACTTAATTAATTATAAACACTGTCAATGTGGACACTATATCGAAGATGCTCATCACTTCTTTTTTGTATGTAATAATTATGCCTACCAACGCCTACAACTTTATCGTGAGCTTAATGATTTCATTCCACTAGACCTCCACCTTCTATTATTTGGAAACTCCGAGCTGACTAACCAGGAAAACGAAACTATATGCCAATCCACCCAAAGATTTATTATAAATACAAACCGGTTTTAAATTATACTCTATAGTAAATTATAATCGTTCCTTCCCAACTCGGGTGACAATCGGTTGAGATATGTTATTTCCAGAAGGATCAGCATGGACCAAGGAGAAGGACATCGGTGGCACGGTTTTTTGATAGACATTGACAAGTTGAACGCTAGGAAGAGTGGAATAGTATAAAGAATGTGATTGTCACCTGGGTTGGGTTAGACCATATCGCTATTGTTCCTTTTTCACTACATTTGTAGATGTACTCTCTCTCTCTCTCTCTCTCTCTTTCTCCCCCTCTCTCTCTTTCTCCCCCCCCCCCCCCTCTCTCTCTCTCTCTCTCTCTCTCTCTGTATATATAATTGTATCTTGTAAATTTCGAATAGGTCATCTTTTGCATTTATATGTGTCTGTTATTTATCTTGGAACGGGCTTTATATAAGTTTGTAAACTTGTGCCCAATCCATTTGTATATACAATTTATGCAATAAAATATGTTTAAATCAAACCCAAAAGCATGTAAGTAAAATTTTAAATAAAGTAAACTTGCCTAAAATGCTATAATCAGGTAATTCTCCATACCAGAAAGGTCTGAGTTTAACATTAAATTCATTTTTCGCGAGAGTGAAGTACAAATTCAATTTTTCAGGAGCTGGAATTTCTACATCAGCTGGTATAGGTGATTATAGGGGAAAGAGTGGAAAGTGGACAGAGATGGATCAAAATTCACTGGATGTTGACTCTGTGTTTGAAAAAAATGAACCAGAAACAAAGAAAAGGAAAACCCAGCCTGAAGCAACAGTGACTCCACAAGCAGGCAAGTATGTTATATATCAAAATATATAAGGGAAATAAAAGCCAAGACACGTAAGTGCTATGAAATATGATTACCTTAGTTATATATATTCTGTCAACTTCCAGTGTAAAAGCATTGAACTTTTAATACAAAGTGATAGACACTAGTTTGATGTTACAATTGATATCTTGACCATATATAATATTATTGAAAATGTACAGTCCAGCTATTAAAGTGCCTAGAGTAATTTTTGACTATTTAAAATAAAATTATCTGAATCCTTTTACTAGTTGAGACTGGAGAGGAAGATGATGATAATGAAGGTGATGGTGTTCCATATGAATCATTGCGACCAACCTACACACACGAAGCTCTGTACAAGCTATTACAGGATGGCTACCTCCATTACATCATCAGTCAGAATGGAGATGGACTGCATGGTTTGTCAGGAGTGCCACAAGATGCCATCTCAGAGCTTCACGGCAATGTCTTCATTGAGAGGTGTGAATCTTGTGGAAAAAGATATGAGAGGGATTTCTATGTTATGGATGACATAAGCAGTCAATATTATGAGGAATTAGAAGATTATGGCAAAACTGATATACGTAAACCTAAACATGCTGTGAAGTGTAAGAGGTGTGGATTGTGTCATCGAACAGGAAGAAAATGTGAAAAGAAGGTGAGCAGTGCTGTTATATACTTTATACCACAATTTTTGATACAGGGCTAGCTCTGGCTGTAAAAGAAAATAAGTAAATGCATAATTTGAATATGGGGATCTGGTAATATAATGGAGTTCAGATTAATTTCTTTCGATGAAAATATAAAATTGACAGCATTGATCAATGTTAACACAGTATTGTTGAAGTTTTTCACTCAATTTGCTCAGTAAAATGGTACATATACCATGGTAAAACATGTCTTAGTACAAATGGTGTGTAAAGTTATACAGACACATGGCATATAGTCCAACTGGTCTAGCATAGAGTATGATACAAAGTATTGAAACAGCATTGAAAATATTACCTGAAAAGATTGGATCTATCTTGTGGTTTCATTTTTATACAAAGGTGCTGATGCTTTAAAATCTTCAGTTTATTGCAATGATGTATGTTATTATTGTGTTATTGTATACTCTGTCTGTCATTTATAAGCAATGTGATAATTTTGCTCATGCAGGGCTGTCGAGGATATTTAATTGACTCCATCATCAATTTCCGTGACCATCTTGAGGATGAAATAACTGACCGGGCAACTGCTAACGCCAGTCAATGTGATCTCATGTTGTGTCTTGGCACTACCCTGATGGTCACTCCAGCCAGTGACTTTGTGGAGCTTGGAAAACATCCCCTCAGACTAGTCATCTGTAACAGGTACTTGGCACACATTAACTCTTTAACGTCATTTTTTATCTTAGTGCAAGCAAATAGATTGGATGTTGTTTTAATGATAAATATCCTTCCTTGTATGTAAATCTTGCCTTGGTTTCTTGAAAATATCAAAAGAATGCCAAGAACTTACCAACTCTGCTTTTTTGTAGTTGTCATGATTATTAATCAGTTAAAAAAGCACATTAATAAACTAGTCAAATATATAGCTGCCAAATTTTTAATGATAATGTTATAAGCAATTTCTCAATGCTGAAGCAAGGGGGAAAATAACACTAATTCAATGTATCTGCATTGTTGTATTCCAAAGTTTGTGTTTTCTTTTTTTTTTGCATTTGGATATTTTATTCGAACATATTTGTCAAATTTTCTCTGCATTTTGTAACAGACAGGAAACTTATATGGACAGTGTCTGTGCGGAGAAAACAAAAGACGGTCAACAGCTAGGATCAAGGGTGTTTGGTGACTGTGATGTCTTTTTTCGTGAAGTGATGAAACACATCTTGGATCCAGAGAGTCTGAAGAGATGGGAGGATGATAGAGGAAAAAGAATGAAAAAGTATGATAAACATCGTTCATAAAGAGAATTGCATAAAATTTTGGTGACAGTGAATGAAAAACGGAAAGTTCATCTACAGTGAGCTAATAAATCTGATGTTTAAAAAGATTTATACCGCCTGAGAATTTCAAGTTTGGAAATCATCTTTCAAAAATAATTTTTTCCTGTTAATGCATTGGATTGATATATAATGACACTTAAACAAATAGTTTTGCACTTTTACTTAATACTTCTTTGAAATGCGGTTCTTTATATTTTGTCTTTTGCATACTTTTGTGTCATTTATTGTCAGAATTGATTATGTATGACTCAGCCTTGATTGTTACGTAAGACATACTAAGAGGAGAGAATGTTTAATTACATGACATGATAAAGTGTATTGTATGTCTTGATTAATATTTGCTGTGTATGTCTCTCATGAATGACCTATTTATTAATTTATGTTGATGATAAATTAGTGTATATAATTTATGTATATTGTGATATTTTGATAAAATGTTTGTACTGAAGAAAGAAAAAAAACAAAAAAAAAACTTTATATTGTTTAAAAAATATACATTCTATTTTTCATGATACATTTCACATGTATGTTTTCCATAAATAAACAGCTATAGACATATACAAGTACAAAATATACAATAAATCAGGTATGTATTGTCTGTGATATAAAAAAATGTTGTCCAATGAGATTGTGATATGCGAGTATTGTAATGTGTGAGGACAGAGGACTGCTCATAATGATACAGCATATTTGTATACCTAGCCACATCATTTGTGTTAACAAGTGTTTCTATGGTATGTATACTGTGTATAAAATGTTTGTCTTTCACTATTTCACCATTATGGAACTTTATATTTTTTGAAAATATTCATTTTGATATTGGGTCAATAATTGTATCCATAAAATTATTTATCTCTTTTTTCTTTCTTTATCTATAGATATATATAAATATGTTAATTTACATTTTGTTTCAGTGATAAAATAAACTTTGAAAAATCTACAAGTTTTAAGTCTTTTTTTTAAATCTTGTTATTAGCTAAAGTTAAGCAATTCATTCGAGCAAGGGAGGTAACTCATTTAGTCTAAGTTGCGCATGAAACTGAAGGCATTAAGTTGTCTGAACACAACAATGCTAACAATATGCATACCTTTTTATATCAGCAGATAATTTCTTCTAGCAGTAAACATAACTGGATCATTGGTTAAGTGTCCTATGTAAGCATTCAGTTGGGATTTCTTCCTCGGTTTAAATGTGTTATTGTCATAAACAGGAACACGTTTTTCTCCGCACCACCAAGCCTCTGTTCTAGTTTAGATCTTGTGTATGAAACCAGCGATTGATTGAATGAGGTGGACACAACAACAGTCTTTGTTTAAGGAACTAAATAAAACCCTTCTCTCGTGAATTAATTAGACAAAAACGACCGTGTGATATAAAGATATGCAATGAATATTTACGAAGGCTGATTGATAAGTTGTGAGCCTTGTAATGAAGAAGTTAAGCAGGAATGTCCTTTTCCAACTATACTATTCCCTGACTATTGAAGTCTGTGTACCCGAAGACTGGGGTCATTCCGTCAGTTTATGTCCAAGAGGTCGCACTCTGAACTATATGTAAACAAGGCAAGGGACTTTTGCAAAATGGACAAGAATCGCCGAAAGAGCTGTGATTCAATATTTACATTAGAAAGATCTATCAAAAGATATCCAAACTGAAATGGTAACAATACTAGGAGATTATGCCCTTTCATATGCTACAGTGAAAAGGTGGTTGATGGAACTTAAGCGTGGCAGGCAGAGCCTTGGGGATGACGCCCGTCGTGGAAGGCCTGTCACTGTTGCAGCTCCAGAAATGGTCAATAACGTTCATGATATTGTTATGGCTGACAGACGAGTTACAGAGAGATAAAGTCAGTACATTGACTTCTGACAGTTCCCCAGAAGCACACTAGGCGGGCTTTGACGCGTGCTAATCTGAACTTTTTAGAGGCAGATCCTGCTAACTTTCTGCTGCGGTTTGTGACTATTTTGACTATGAATGAAACGGGTCCATCATTTCACCACAGATGCCAAACAACCCCTGGTTCACCCCTGAAAAGGAGGCGAAGACTATTTCATCAGCTGGAGAAAAGTTATGGCCTCTTTTTTCTGGAATGCTGATGGTATTCTGATGGAAGATTATCTGTGAAATGGACAAACAATCAACAAACATATGCATCTCTTCTTAGGCAGTCAAGAGAAAATATCAAACCCAAGCGCCACGGAAAAGTCGGTGAAGGTGTGTGTTGTTCCACTGGGACAATGCTTCTATTCACGAGTTTTTCATCGCCATGACTTCCATTGATTGACACCAGTCAATAAAAACAGGTTTATATTCAAACAGAAAATTGAACTATCATTTATTTGAAATTAGTCTACCTCGAAAATCTGACAGCGAAGCGGTGGCATTACAGACTGTGTGTAACGTAAGAATTCGATAAAGACTCACTAAATCCCAGGATAAATACATTGAAATCCTCGTATATCGCTGTTGAGTTGTTTATACTGTCTCAATATGTCCAGTCCAGACCAGGAACATGACTGTGAACCTCGTAAAAAGTCTTTTGAAATGTGTGACATTCCTGAAACAAGCATTTCATGCTTACCTTTCACAACGGTGTTTCATTCAATATTCAACAACATTACACGATAGAGGGGCGGTAACTCGTCCTGTATTAGAACACATAAGATATCAGTTTGTATTGCAGTGCATGTACTCTGTATTTCATGTAACCATTTGTCTACCCATTTGTTCATCCTCTGAATTGGCCAATCAGGATATCAACATGTTTTCATTACGTCATGGATGTGATTCTGATCGTAAATTTGATGTTGTTGGTAGTACCCACTGTATTGCTGTACATAGCCAAATCTGTATATGACCCTCTCATGTCGTCAACCTATCTTTACACTGGCAAGGTTTGTCTCATAAGGGTGAAGTGGCTTTAGTTTCTCTCTTCAAATGTTTGCAATAAATGGATATATTGAGCTGCCTATTTCCAAGCTGAATCTGATGGATGGCATTCCGGAAAGAGAACCATGCTGTTGTAAATACAACATTGAAAATTACGTTCTTTAGCTGTAATCGGACATGAATGATGCCAAGTACTCTGGTAGTGGGCATGTTGGTAAAAACGAGACATAACATGAAATAAATTCAACATTTTTTTTCTTCTGTCAAGATCGTGCACATTTCCCAAAATGTCTTATTTCATCACCATCTCGTTCACTGTATACCTCAGTGCAAGTACACTTAACATTTGTCTGTTATGAAGCTGAATGTGTAGTCATCGAAACGTCACACAGACTCTTACACCCTCGTATCGGAAGAACATTGTTTTGGTACTGTCTGTTAGTCTGTTTGTTTGTCTGTTGTCAATTTTAACATTGCCCATAACTATTGAACCGTAAAAGGTATGTCATACATATGTGGCATGTGTGTTACAAGACCTTTCCAGTGGTACCAAACGTTTTGACCATGTGATCTTGAACGTTACTTTTGGCCAACATTTGAAAAAAAAAACTGTGCAACTAACACATGCCTTATACAGTAGTTTTAATGCCCCATTTCAGAATCTTGTTGCACCCGGGGGCATGGTGTTTCATAAACACATCTTGTTTTCTATCTGTTTGCTATATAAGAGCGGGTATTTGGTTTTACCAATCTGAAGAAAGGTATTATACAAACGCAAAACGTGCTACACCCTCCACTTGTATAGATTGTGTAATATGAACTAAATGAACTGTTAATCTCATCCTTATGCTTGTCAATACTCTAAATGTCTCGGTGATGATGATGATGATGATGATGATGATGAATTGACTCACTTCTTGTCTGTAGTACAGAGAGTTCTTTAGAAAATTATCGTGAAATTACCTTTTTATTGCATAAAGAATTTATTACTGTCTTGTTTTGAAGATGAATTGCCTCGTGCAACTTAATTTGTACACGTCATCTTCCAATATCCTTATATCATGAATAAAAAAAGCTACGAGAAAATAACAGTCATTGTGGCAGTAACCTTCCTGATAAAAGCAGGCGAGTGTCTGTGTAATTTAAGATATAACACACCACCAACCAGAACAAATTGGGGCTCGACTTCAAACCGATAACATCGAAACAAAATGGAAGGCGTCGTGACGTCATTTTAATCAAGAAAAATATATCCAGTATACCAATGTTTGCATTGAGGTGAATGTAATTATATAATGAGCTGCACAGAAAATGTGTATTCCATTCTCACTATTTGTACAGATATAACGTCCTTGCTTATCGGTGAACAATTTTGTAAATTATCTTTCTTCTTCACTAATTTCATAAAAGTAACATATCATCCTAAAATGAAGACACATGCAGATTAAATCAATTGTTCTATGGGATTATGTATAAAACTGATTCTAAATAAATACATTTTGTACAAAAATAAAGCTATCAATCGGTCCTCCTGAGATTTATCTTAGATATATGGTTTTCAAACCAATTAGCCAACCCAGACATTATTTACAAGAATTATACATGATTTTGACTCTCTTTTTAACAGTGGTAAGCTAGATTCGACACACGCCTTCCCGTCTCGTTCCTAGTCATGTACATGACACCTGCGTAACACATTAAAGAGCCTGGCTTTGAGCGCAATCTCATAAATGTTGGAAATGAAGATTTTATCTTATTAATCAAATAATTAAGAGTACTTAATTAAAAAGGGACATAAAAATAAAACGTCTTGTCTCATTAATTAATTTGCATTTTAGCATGTTTCATAAATTGCTTACGGTACTTATCGATTAGAACATACAGGTACAAATATGTGTTTTTTAATGACGTCATAATAATAAATGATATAGTGACTTTTACCTGTCTAACGGGTTCTTTAAATCAGCTGGTCTAAGTACCGTGGGCATACCCTGACCTATTTTGTCAGTGAATAAGATAAGTCCGTGTCTATATGTCATGTAAATCATTTAGGTTTTATTTATTCTTTTGCTTGTGTTTCAAGAAACACCGGAGACATTACGTACATACAATATCCATTTGTTATAACAAAATGGTAGACATACTACTGAACAATACATATACATACATGACAATGACATTCCCAATATTACATTTTTTTTAATTAACTCATTAGTGTCCACCGTACCAGCAATACAAATATTATCTAGATTTTCGTCCATATTAGTGAATATTACCTTTTTCAGAATACAAGACATTATCATACACATTTGATGACAATTAAGATTCATTCGCCGCCGTAAACTATCATGGGTGGGACTTATCATGACTATGCATATGGAAGATTGAAAATCCTTGTCCCGAGGTAGCGAAGAGGATCAACAGAACAGTCCCCAAGGTCTTCCAAGCTGCAAATTGAATCCAGAAAGCCATGAACAAATGTACCTAATATAAGTCACCTTGTATTTGTCAATACTTCCATAAATGAATGATTTATTCTCACAGGAATACTTCAATATGTTGACTGCTTGCTTTATGAAATCTTCAGTCCTAACTGAGTCCACATTTTCCTTCAAATTTTGCCGCTCACGAACACGTCACAAAATATATATTTAGTGCTCATACCTTTTGTGCATGAAACAGTACCGTTAAATAGTAGAAAAAATTCAATAAACACATTGAACAAACATTATACGAGACTGGACAAAATTGTTCGAAACCGTGTACAATTAATATATGTGGATGCCGGGAACAGTCGAAGCGCCATCCTGAGTGTCGACCGAAAAACTAGAGAACGTAAAAGTCAAGAGAGTTTCACTTGTTTGAACAGAACTTCACTTTGTAAAAAGATCACAAACACGATACGTGAATGGATAAAGATAAACAATAATACAGCACAGGATAGATGTAAATTAACTTTACATGGTGACTTGAATATTTATCATAAACGTGTCTGATAACATAGATATCATCTTGTTAAAACATTTTGTTTTACATAAATAATAAAAAGAGTTAAAGGAATAAATTTATGATAATTGAAGTCTCATGCAATAACTATCAGTTTGGAGTACAAATAATTCATTATACTTGCTCTCCTTCCAGAATGACAAACATTATTTCTCATTTTCTTACTTTAAAATGATCTCATTGAGAAATATTCTATCTTTGTGCGATATGAAGCTGACCATTAGCATATCTGGTGGTTTCGTTGTTGTTTAACATGTTCTCGTTTGCCAACGTGACATTTCATATTTGGAAAATTAACATGGCAGGTGTCGTCGATGAAGCAGAAGACGCTTACTCTTCCGGAACATCTGATATTATTCTCATTTAACTTTTTCTGGATCTCGCTGTTAATCTTTCTTTTGTTCATATTTTGTCATAGTTTGGTCAGATTGGAGTTTGGGTTATGATTCTGTTGGCATGTTGGTTTTTGATATTGAAAATACCAAAAGCAATGGAAATTGGTTGGAGTAAATGTTTCCATCCGAGTGACTATTACCTATCATCATTGTTTATTTCATGTACAGAAATAACTTGACCTTACTGTTTTGACTGCTCGCCAAATGAATTCTTTCTCACATGCCTTATTTCTTTGCAAATGTTATTTCGGATTGCTCTCAAAGTTTTGGCATTTCACAGAAAGTTTGGACAGGGGATGAGTTTTACTCCTCAAAATGAATTTCTATCATGAAGAAACACATGTTCACGTGATGACTATTATTGCATCTGTGACGTCAAGGTCCTAAATATTTTTGCAGTATGTTTTGAAGATAGTTTGGCGGAAGGATTTTAGATTTTCCCCCATACCTACTAATTAAGTTACTTGTCTGTGTTCTGTTCATTTTTCAGTGCATCGTGGCGAAGGGTTCTTTCTTTCTTTCTTTCCAGAGTATATTTGCCCTCGTTTCCGCAAGATTTTGTTGATATTGTGTACGTTTTTCTTCGGTAAGCCATTGGTATGCCAGTACGTACCTTATGAAAGATAAGCATTATACTTTGTAGACAACACATTTCGAATTTTCCGTCAGTAAGTGTTTACTTTCAAACAAAGTGATTTATCATAAATATATATCTCGATAGAACTTTTGACAGCACACCTGCCTATATAATGTTGGTGGATATTTTATGTGCACAACATTCCGACAAAGAAAAAACTTGCTTACAAACGTATTAATAATTAACCTGAAGGTTGTAACCAAAACACTTTACATATTTAGTCCTAATTTATTCAATAAATGAAATTGTGTTATACAGAAAATGTTTGATCTTGTCTTTCATCCATTATAATCATTGTGTTAATTAGATATGATTAGAATGTTATTAAACCCGTTCGTGTTTATCCGGAGACGATCTATGTTAGAAAAAAATTTAAATAGAAATGATTTAATAAGAAAATCTGTATCTGATATTGGGAAATCATCACCTGTATGTTTAGGTGGATATTTATCCACCCAAAGAAAATTTCTTATTTGACATAGGGATAAGATCACACTGTTATGTAGCAAGTGTGTGTCAAATCAATGCTTAATACACGAGATGAGAACAGTAAGTGCTTGTCAATTTCAAACAGTTAAGAGATAAACGTTCGTTTTGAAATCACTTTATAAGGTATTATTAATTCAATTCACGTGAACCAATACCTCTAAAACCTAAGATATTAAAAGATGACAGAATGAAGATCATATATATTAAATACGATGTTTTGCTGTTAAGTACATTTATCAGTCAAGTCAAGAGTGTATGTAAGTGCTTGATGAAACTACTCTGATATACGAGACGTGTCTGAAGAGAGGTATCGAACTGGCCTTCACCTGTATACAACGTGTTGAGGCCAGATAGAAATTGGCTGCATGTTGGGTAAATCAAAAGGGTGTCGTGATGAAATCAGGATCAAACATATGTTTGATGTATGTTCAGAAAAATATTATAGTGACCAAGTATTTGTCGACCAAAAGGGTGAAGTTCTGTTTGTTAACTGCAAGGAGAGATGGATACCGGACGTTGGATTTCAAGACCGGAGCTTGTATACTGACTTGTTGTAGATTGTACTTTTCATTTGATCGTTCTGCTAGATTTGATTTTTTTCGTTTTTGAGTCCATTTTTAAGAGATAAAATGAACACGCGTCAGACAAATTAGGTATATGTCACGACAATCAATTAAACCACCTAATTGAGAATCAACTATACAAAAAGGATATATTTATCAATTTCGTTTTGTCTCGACACACTATACAAATTGGCATTTCGATACGGTTGATAGTGCTGTATTTTAAATTGAATTAGGACTTTTGGAACTCCATACGACAGAGAGAGAGAGAGAAAAAAAATAATGAAATCACTGTTTTAAATCTACTCACGGGTCGATGATTTCAGTGACTTTCAACAACACAAGTTGTTCATACAAGGAACGATATGAGGAGGATGTGACTAATCGACTTTCTCCAACAAATATTGACTGAGGCAGGGGAACCAATTTATTGTTAGAACAGACTTGGAGACAGGAAGCACAACGTATTGATTTGGCTCCAAGAACAGTATTACTAACTACTAATGACCTAGGACAATCCGTACAGGAATTCCAGAGCCTGCATACCTGTTGGATACGTAATCAATAGGATAATTTGTGAATACACATACCTGTTCATCTTCCGTGGGATTCTGAAATTTGAGCACCTGCATATGGGAGAAGTGATCAAGATACAAGGTAAAAGTACGTTCGTTTGACGGACTTCATAACAATCTTTTGCAAAGTAAAAGTGATATGAAATGTATTGAGAAAAACAGTGAAATGTTTTATGAATTGATTTAGAAGTCATAAAAGCCTCTAAAAGAATTGCTAGTGTTTCTTTTCTGGATTCTGTTAAAACATTTTATTTGTGAAGTTGATATTGGACACTATGGATATCAGACCAGCCACAAGATCTGCATCGAATGCGAACCTCCCACCAAAGATGGGAGAAAAAGCCAAAACCTCACCCCTGCTCAAGTCGAACAGTTCTTACTTGCTGAAGAGACAGATAAGTTCCATCTCTCAGCTGAAACAGAATGAAACTCCTGTTTTCTCCGAAAGATCTGGTCCATCGTTTGTTGGATTACTGGCTTCAAAACGTTTGGCAAAACGACTAACTTCCCGAATTCTTGCTGGACGTACCAGAAGTCTATTAAACTCGCGTATGTCGGCTCTTAGTATCCAGAAGGAACCTACATACCGTATGGAACCAAAAGAGTCGCTAAAATTCAACTTCGTCCAGGTCGAAAAAATAGCCAACAAGGTGCTAGAAGATCGACTATGTGAAATGAAATACAACCCGCGTCTCTGTTCAAATATGAGTCGCCTCATCACGGAGGAGATCAAGGATAGAGTAAAAATGCTAAAGTTTGACAGGTACAAGATAATAGTTATTGTATTCATAGGTGAAAACAAGGACCAAGGAATTCAAATCGCCAGTCGCTGTGCATGGGATGAGAAAGTCGACACTTTTGCCACCTGCAATTACCAAAACAGCGCCATATACGCCACCGCGACAGTGTACGGTGTTTACAATGAATAGTGCAATATACAGATTTACGGCGTAAAATATATCGGTGATCAGGTGAAATAATTCGATATGTGTTTTTATAGAGGTATGTAGACACTCAGACTACGCAATCCGAGTAGATTTCAGCTATACTGACAAACATTTTCTTGTTGATACATTGTATAAGTCCAAACAATTGAAAATGAAGACTAAAATTTTGTTATATATTTGAAGGAACTCTTATCTATTTTTGATCGTACAATTATTAAACCATTGCAATATCTTCATCGTAAAATTACTATATATTTTGCTTCATTTTAAGCTATTTACATGGTACTTGTTTTTCTAACATGAAATATTGATTTGCTAAATAGTGTTCATATTAGTGTATACATACAACTTATTTCGGGATCAAGAGAAATTGTGAAGTATGATGGAATGAAATGTAATCGTTAAATTGTTACGCAGGTATGATATGTTGTGTATTGAGGACTACTTTGGCTCATTGTAAGATGTGCTGAATGTGTACCTGATAGTAATAGAGAAAATGCATCCCTTTATTACCGTATATTACTACATGTTTTATTGTCAATATGTTTTTGTATGATCAAAACAATAAAATGTATTCTAAGTTAATGAAAAATTACATAAAACTACAATTGCATTACTTAATTTGTCAAAAAAGAATAAAATTGAAAATGAATATTTTCCCTTGAAACTTTTTCATGTTATACTGTATCAGTAACGGATATTACTTGGCTACGGTAATGAATTTCATGCATGATGTCCAAGTTTTATCACCAGTACCTGTGTCAATTGAAAAATCTTTATTACAAGTATTCGTGTCACTTGGCAAACGTTAATTGTTTCAGTTACCAGATTTGTCCATACAAAAAGCTATCAGCTTGATTACATTTCTAAAAATACCGCCCTTTTGTTAATACACAAATATATACTACTTAACATATACACAGAAAAGGCTAGTCAGTTAGTGATACGGTCTGTTACACACCGACGGCTATAGAATGAGAAACATTTTATTTGTTCGGCATTTTTTGTAATAAAGTTGATAATTATTCTTAAAAGAAGGAAATTACATGCATCTGTGCTCATTTTTGTTATTTTATCTCTGATTCCTGTAGTGATGTTTACTATCTCGCAAATTGATGTGTGGTGAAGATTGCTTACACACCTACAGGAAAAACTATATGATCTAGTATAAGTTTCCATTCATATGATTATTATTAAACGAGTCTTAGAGATTTTCATTTTACCAAACCTCTCGCAAATATAATGAAATGATAGCGATGATGAGTTTTATAAGTTTAATATAATATGGAAACGAATGTTGGATTCTGTTTATCACATTAATTAGATGCTTTTGCAAACATTTATTAAAAAAGAATTTTATAAAAGTTATAAATTGACAATTTTCTTCCATTTGTCTTTGGAAATGTCAGAATGCATATGAGGCCATGAACGTCACAAGTGAAACAATGAAAACCTTCAACCAAACAAAGGTCTACTGAATCATATTTCGCGTGTGTAAAAACAAAACAGAATAAAAATGAAATTGTTGTTATTACATTGATAATAGGGTTATTTATGTAATAAAAAAGAAATAAGTCTCATTGATCTCGTTCATATCTTATGCGTTTGTTTTTCACGATATTCATACAAAGTGACATTTGCTAATTAGCTGAAATTTTTACAAGTCTCACAGTTAGACTAGAATTAACATACGTAATAGCATATACAGTAGCCAAAAATTATTTACGAAAGTTCGGCTAACTCAATAAACATCTCCATACATTGGTATATACTCGACCCTTGTTTGATATCTGTATTTTAGACTACTTCACAAGAACCTTGGTACCCATAATCATCTCTCTACAAACACGACCGCCTGTATAAAAGCCAATAATACGAGCAATTTTAGCGTTTGATAAGGGGGTTTGGAGTGTCTCTATAAACACCAACGAGTGATTAGAGTATCGCCCGAACATGTAGGTACACAGTTGATATATAGCCGGACCCATTAGTAAATACCCGTTTAACACTATTTGATGTTCGTTAAAAGGACATCGGTGACAGAGCGTGCTTTGTGAAAAGGTCAGAGATAGGTTCTCGTAATGTTTTTTTTATTGCTCGTAGATGTTCATTTTGTTGTACTTTTGAGGAGCGTCCTTGTCATCAAACTAAGTACTCTAACTAACTCACTCTGATTTCATTTCAATTACAGTTTGATAGTTTGACACATTGTCAATGAGTGACAGAAGAGCTGTAATTGTCGGTGATTTATGATGAAACGTCTTAGGTCATTTAACAGCTGATACTTCCATTAAAATGTTCGTGACAAATGAGAACTGAAAGCATTACAAGGTAACACATCCTTCACGGTAACAATTTAAACTGATTTCGTACTCGGTAATTATCGATTGTTGCACAATTCCTCACCAAAGTGTGATAATGATATATCTGACCTACTTACATACAAAGATAACAACACTCGTTGAGTAGAATATAGCTTTCTGACTTAAGACAGGGACACACAAACGAGTCATATCAGAGATGTATCCCTTTGTACTTTATGATTAATTATAGACATTTATAATTTAACACAATGCACAACAAAATTTTAACTGAGTAATTACTGTGTAGTAGAACCGATGAAGTTATTGAGTAGAAAATGATATACTTAAAAGATTTCTTTCTGTGTATTTTGAGGATTAAAGCAATAGTGTTAAGAATTATTCGTAATGATATGTCGTCATCAATGATTATATTGGTGTTTTGGTGCTAGTTTGAAATTGCTGTAACAACTTTTAAATATCATATAAAACTAGTGTTTATATTTTCGAATATTTCCTTTTTTGATAAATAAGTATGCAAATCATTTCATTCGGAGAGTGATGCTATGTCATCTTTTTACTTGCCTTTACCAACATTTTGACAAGTGCACTGACAAACTTTAACACATATCTCTGAATATGGAGATAGAAGATGTCGGTCTTCAAAAAATACCTTTACAATATTTAGAATACCAGTATATTAAAAACAGTAGCATAAGCAGGCAATGTTTCCCAGCTACTATTAGTTTTCACTCAAAGCTTTATGTGTGTTACACTTCCATTTATGAACATCCACTTTCGTGACAAATCCACAGAAAATAAATCTTAAAAGTGTTAGTGGTAATCTTTGATTAAATATATTTTTTGTTAAAATTCAAGTATGGATTGGAAAAAACATAAAAAAATCAATTAGCGGTAATCTTTGATTAAATATATTTTTTGTTAAAATTCAAGTATGGATTGGAAAAAAACATAAAAAAATCGACTATCTAACCTGTCTATTCTTCTAAGGTAGAGAGATGTTACACAATACCAACATAGAGTGTATACAGTGGTATATCCTTTACATGACTTTTATTGCGATTTTTATGTTTATGATGACAATAAATTCACGTACCAATTTGTGTCTTCTTATCAAATATAAGCTTTTAAATAGATGTTAGATATAATTTAAAATAGCAATTTAGTTAGAAAAAGGCAATAAATGGCATAGTGTGGATCCTTTAAATTTTGACAAACTAAACGTATCAAATAATGATAAGAATTAAGTTTAATATAATATGTAATTATGAATTAGCGTGTACAATAGCGTACATTATACCTGAAATAAATTCGGGGTTACACCGACTACACGCTGCTAGCCGGATTTATAGTCCGTTTATGTGTATGATTTAATTAGTCCTGTTGGTGTTTGTTAGGAATGTGTATTCATATCGTTGATTACTAAGCATATTCCTGTACAGGACTACAGTGGCTACTTTGTGTGAACTGAGTTATCTAAAATCTCAATTACTCAGTTGGTATTAACGAGGTTAATACTATATGTTTTTCCTATGATAACGTGTAACATTCCAGAACAAAACCGTAGTGTTTAGCGAAAGAGAATTAAATAAAACGTGAAACGAAAATATGAGAATCCCAACAAAAACAAAAAACAAAAAACAAAAAACGAAAAAAAAAAGAATTTTCTGGTCTCCCCACGGACATGATCGCGACAAATTTCTAAATGATACGAAGACTAAACATTCATACGAAAGGCAAAACAGATATATTATACAGTCAATTACATATCAGTTCTATAAGGAAAGAAAGAATTAGACGAAAGGAGGTCAACATAAAATGAATATTGTATTTCTTTCTTTTTTCACTTTTACTGATAGATTGGCCTGATACTATTCTGAAACATTTGTAGGAAATTGCGTTGGTTTTCTTACGTCGATTTACAAAGCGGCAAATAAACCTTAAGGTCTTTCCGAGACCTGTTTCCTTACTACAAGAAAACACAATCATATTCCATTTGAGGTTCTGTAAAATGTTAAAAGATATGGAAAATAAACCGTTAGCATGAGATGTATAAATAAAAATTTATTTGAGAAGTGCAAAATGATTACAGCGGATAGTGTAAATGGTCCCAAAGGATTCTACTCGATGTACAAATTGTGGATAAAAGTATGATGTACAACTTCGCATGTTTTCAATAAATTGCATAACAAAAGAACAATGTGCATCAGGAGATGCTTTTTAAACATTTTTAAAATAAGGACGGTATCGTAATGGTTTTGCAAATATATAAGCATAAATTCAGAAGGTAACAAAATAAAGCTAGATATCATCACAAAATCTAGTAAGCAAGCATACATAGAATTCGATTTGAGATAAATTCTATGTGGACACAATCCAAGACATTATTGCTCTCTCTAGTAGCAGAAATGCCACTTAGAGATCTATCTATCACAGTATCATTGTAAATATCAAAGAGTAGTCCTAATATCAATAAATGCATAACTTCAGACAATTATGACTACTTGTAAAAGCAGTGTCATCACTTCCTTATAAATCAATATCAGCATGAGTGATAACTAAATGATCCATGAAAACATGTTTATATACAACTCTTCCAATTCTGACATCCATCTTACACATTGTCCCTTACTATCAGACGGACGAACTTATTATCGATGCGTGTAGATTTTCGGCTAGTTTGAGTTCACTTTTTGCTAACTTGCAACGCATCTTTTTGCGTAGTATTCTGGTATACGATATTTCAATTTCCTCCACAAAAATCCGATATTTGGGAGAACCTATTACGGATTTCCCACATGTTTTATTATCGATTGTCGTGATGTTCAATTTATTCTCTGTAAACTCCGAACACAGACGCGTTGCAAAACCAGGCTTTTCCTTGGAATGATCCTTGGTACGTATATGTCGCTGAATTATCGTATTTATTGTCCCATGCGCATCTGCTTGTGAGCTCCATTGCTTGGTCTTTGACCTCTCCAATATAAACAACACAGATATACTTGTAACGATCGTAATGCAGCGCTTTCATCTGGTCTTTAATTTCGTCACTTAACACCTTGGCCATGTTTCTAGCAAACTTAGAATTATATCTGTATCTCTCTAACCTAGACGATAAGACATCCTCTAGGATTTGTCGTGCCTTTACAGAGCTGAATTTCTTGTTGGGCTCCATTCGGTAAGTCGGCTCCTTTTCGACATGGACATTACTTGCAGCTATTGATGAAGATCTTCTGTCTTTACCGAGCTTAGACGTGAGTTTGCTTGTCAGTCGCTTAGACGCCATCAATCCAACTATAGTTGGTCCGGATGTAGCGGGTTTCATGCTCTTTTTCACTGGGCCTGCATCCGTCGATGCTGACTTTCTATCCGCCATTTTTGCTGAAGTGTTTTTTATTCTAGAACGTACTTTTCTGTTATTTGCAGTATGTGGACTTGTCTGGTCCCTCAGTCAGAAAACCAGAACCCTAACTTGCTATGAGCTCCTGGAAAACAACAAAAGAAAATATTTCATATTAACAGGAGTACACATGTCATGTATGTTACAGTAACGGATACATAAACAAGTACTAAAAATTTGTTAAGATTTTTGAACAAAAAGCAATCATTTTAATATGTTTTCTAGATTTTAAAGTTGATAGTGACACCATGTTTTGTAATCGCAAGTATCATAAACTTAGAAATACCTACAATTCTAATATAGGAGTACATTGGCCTGTTTCCATTGCTAAATGGTTATTCATTCAATCTACCAAAAAGATTTTTTTTTCAATTTTAAGATGAAACATCGTCGCACAACACTAGCCATGTTATATTGGATACGAATTTCTTACAAGCATAATTTTCATACCTATTGCAAAGAGTATGTTGATAGCAACTACCTCTTGTCAGTCATAAACCATTCATACAATATAGTCTGTCACAAGAGAGCGTACAACATAAGTACAACTGCTCGATAATAACGGAATACTTCTTAAGAAGTTTCTAAACACTATGCCAATTGCGTATTCTGAGATTTTAATATCCAGTTAGGAGAAGTGAATACACATTAACAAGGCGTAAATAACAGGTTTGTCGTTTTGAGTCGATGAACGCCTAAGTAAGGTCATATATACATTTACATAGTCTGAACTTATACAACGTACCTAGTTATAGTGTTTTATTGCACTTTTCTATTACATTTGCAGGTTGATTACTAGATATGGCAAGGTATTGTTGATATATTCTTACTGGTCATTACTTCAAATAATAGGTGAATAATGGATTCGTTGAAGGCATACAGTGTACATAAAAGAAACCAAACTGACAAGACAAAATCCCATCAAATTAGTATTGTATATTCATTCACTTATTTTTTTAAACACTTGGAGAATTTAAAAGTCTAATATTATCATATTTCTACATACATATTGTATATTGCACCATTCACTTAAAGTAGTTTAAACACCGTTTTTCTTATCTTGAATAGAATGACCTCGTTTGCTATTTCGATTAAAAATATGCCTATCTATACTATAATGCAAAACATATCTAAACAGTTGTAGTAAAATTTGAAATACAGTCTAGTCAAATGAAAATTTTGTAACGCTACTGTAGAATATATGAATGAAAAGAACCATACTTAAAACTTTACTTCTGAAACATGAGAACTATACAAACGAAACTGACCACAAAACTATATCAATACATGTATCCACATGTATACCATTGAATGATGTCGACGTGGACCACAGTCGATCACGCAAAAACTTGAACAAGATCTGTGACCCTTACCTCTGTCGAAATCTACCAACTGTCAGTTTCTCTATTCCCAGTGTAGCCTGGCTAAGTCTAGCCGCCAGGAGTAAATGCTGTACATACAAGTGTTTCCTTAAGGTGTTTAATAGTACGTTTTATCTGAAGTAGCGCTGGCTATTTACATGTTATGTATTATTATAATATACTGTACATTTCAAGATCTTGTTCATGTTCATCTCACCTCAAATTGGCATGCTACTTATCAAATCACAAAAGAAAGAAAAATCTTCCATTTACTTACCTAAAATCACAGCAAGTTACCAACCCTGGTTGGATGAAATTATTGAGGTTTTTTGTACCTCGAACCAATTTTAAAATAAGCTTTTTAATGACCATGGAATTTATTGTGCATGATGTTTACACAACCCTACAGGTAAATGTCTACACAATAACTCCATCGATTGTAAGTCTATCTTGGGAGAGGCTTCTACTGTGGTTTCCCTTTCTTGAATTTTACATCTAGACATTTAAATCTGACGAACAAACTATAATTAAACATATTTCAGTCACAGCGTTTTTCTCAATATCCCCTACAAGCGCCACAAGCTGTTGAGAATAAAATCAGCAAAAACGATCGTATTGATTGCCCGAATGTTAGTATTGTTGTCTTTGTGTGTAGATCTGATCGATGCTGTGGTAAGCACCACAACAAATATTTAATGGTCGTCAAACGTGACATTTAATATAACACGAATGTGAAAAGCATGGCGATATTAGATCTCGTTACAGTAAATATACCAAGTGTCAGAAACTATGTTTTTGATCTTCAAGCGGTCCCTTAACATGACTGCCTAGACCTTCGTCTGTGAGCATTAAATATCAAACATTCACCTTCAAAACAAAACGCACACCAGTTAGTTTACGTCCTAAAACATGGAGTCGTAAAGAAAAAGGTGACTTGATAAAATTGTAGATATTTACATACTTTGAATTTCTACGCCAATTCCACATATCAAACAAATAAGTTCGTTAATGCCTCTTGTAGTTTACGGGAAAAAAATTGAATAGAGTTGAACGGTTAAATGTAACTAAAGGAATACATTCATAATAGAAGCAGGTGTTTAATAGTCCAAGGTGTATTTTTGTAATTTTAAAAAGAATTATGATCTTTTTTCTCGTACATCGAAATTTGTTAAGGAATACATAACGACGGATTCTCACTCATAAACATTTATTACCACTGGTAAACATATCGATGTTTTCAACATCTTGCCAAGTAATAGTATTTAAAAAGCAGCCATGTTTTTCTGTATTTGTAGAGGCCTTATGCTACGAATGAATGTGATTTTGGATGCATACATTTTATTATTTACATATCCATTCTTCTTTAACAATGCTAAATACGTACTCATTATATACGCTGTTTGTTTCTGAAGGACCGTTTTATTACAATAAAGATATTTCGATTGGTATTCTATCTTGACATTCACTGTATTTAAGATTTCCTTTACACATCTTACATAGCTTTCTCTTGGAATGAAACCTGTGGCAGTTAGTGAAAGAATTATAAAGACTTTAATGGTATGAAAAAGCAATGCATTACGAATACCTTAAGGTGTATAGCTATGTGATTGGTAGTCAAGTGCACCATTACCCTGTTGGTTATCCTGTTTGACTCGTATAAGGTGACTAAGGCTATCCACCCATACCGAATTTATCATTGATCTGAGTATATTTCTTTGTTTTGATAGTATACGGTCGGCCAATCATATTACATTGTCTTTGTTACCCAGTGTCTACATGTATTTATATCTAATTGGTGTTGTTAGGTCCTACCCCCTAGTATAACCAAGCTGTTTCGGACATTATATACAGTATGGAATAACTTAGTGTATGATAGTATACGGATAAAATATATCTGTGCTCCAATCTCATACAAAAAGTTTAATGAATAATTATCAATCCAAAGAGATAAATTTCTACTATTGACATAGCCTATAGATTAATATCATTTGTATATACGTATCAAAGTAGAACCTTGAAAATCAAATTATGACGTGACTGAAGATGCTATTAGTTCTTGGTGTGTCGGTTGGTATTACCATACAATAAAAGTGGTAATTAGTTTCAATATATAACACATGAATATATATCACATCAAAGACACCAATTAAGAAAATAAACGCTAGTAATTGGAGTTTGAAGGTAAGACATGTTTATTTAAATTGCGTTGGTAAATACTTTACTGAAATCAATAACATCTAATGGTGATCAAAATTGTTCCATACTGCATGGAACGACTTACGTATGGAATATAAGAAAAAAACCGGACGAAATGACTTTAAGCACATATCGATCATTAACATAGATATAGTATGGGGCTGGATGTTGACATGTGGTATTAATGTTACAATGGTACAGCAAGAGGTCGCCACATACATAGGGAAATATTGATATGACGAATAATGGTTACACGTTTTAAATGGTTACCTATCCGGGTACATTAGCAAACGGTAACAACAACCCTTAGCAGCCTAGAAATAACTTCGACTTGTCCCCAAAAATAAGATTTTTAACAATTAATACTAGGTCGTTCAATTAATGTAATTAATACATACATTAGTATAAAATTGTTGTGTGTTTAGACAAAGCTTCCCGTTGTCAGGTGATGGAATTCGAGAAGTTGAAGTAGTTGTTTAGAGAAGAATAGACGTCTCTTAGATTTAGTCCGAAGGGGATCTTTAGATCTATCGGGACGTAATCATGTTGATAAGCAGTTAAATAAACAGTTCAAGGCTGTATTGTTGAAGAGCTCTCCTTTATCGGCCATGTATTAATAGAATTGCCTTCATTCTTGTCCCTCGATCATGCATACAATACAATTACCTGACAAGTGGGTCAGCCAGGGTAAGCTTAACACTCTCAAAACATGAAAATGATCACCAGGTTCGCATACGTGAATAGAACACTCCAAAGATTTCTCCACAGTTCATAGAATTATATCTAATATATCAAGTACAATAATTATTTCAAATCTCTATATTTAGACAGAGCTACTGCAATTTTAAATATATTTCTGAGATGACGAGACTTCTCAATTTTTTAATATGGCGTGTCCAATCTATGGATACAAGGTGTAATATAGGAGTATTCCCATACAAACATTCATATCTACTCCCTAAAAAGAATTTATAGCTAGGTTTAACCGATATTACTTTTCCTAAATACTTGTTTTATTTCTAGGGAACATATATTTCTTCACATTGATAACATTTGATGACATTTGGTCACCTTCATAAACTGTCTTCATTACAAACGTAATTGTGGTAAAAATCGTTCTCAAATACACGTAAACGTAGAAAATGAACACAACTTACTTCATACTTCCATTGGCGTAATGGTATAACCAACATTATATCTATGATATGTAGCTATTGTACAATAAAAGTATACTATATATTAATTGTTTCTATTCGTTACAAAATGAATTCAGTACTAAATCAATATGCCTAGTACTGCTAAACGTAAATAACGAATTTTGTCGTCGTAATTGCTGTTCTGACTCTTATTGTTGACAAAGGGGTTAGTGTTTAAACAACCACGAGGCGTAAAATCGATCATTTCATGTTTCATTATAGT